TATATAAAATAAAATAAATTAATTTAAATAAAAAAAATTATTGTAATAATTTTAAAAATATATAATCATATTTAGAATGATATAATCATAAATTTATATAAATTTCGGCTATATATATTTTTAAAATTTATGTTATATATTAAATAAAAAACAAAAAATTTAAATTTAAATTTTCTTTTTTTATATATTTTTAATTTTTATTATTTTATATTTAAAATTATAATAAACAAATTGGAGTTAACCTTTTTACTAAAATATCAAAATTATAATTGTGTTTTTTTTTTTTTATATTTATATAATAAAAGAAATAAATACATACATTTTTTTAAAAAAAAAATTAAAAATGATTAATAATATTATTGAGAAATAAGTGTTATCATCTAATACTAATTATGATAAAACACAGTAAAAATTAAAATAATAATATGAAAAGACTACTTTATATCTTGAATATCACTGCTTAAAATATGCTAATGGACTAAATGTAATAATATTTATATGTATATATATATTTAAAATATATTTATATAAAATTATATATCTTTTTGACTTTATAATTATTAAATTAAAAATAAGGATTAATTAATCTAGAGAAGACTAAAATGCTATGAGAACCAGAATAAATATCAATAATGTTTAGATTCATTAGAATAAAAATATAAAAAATATAATTTCAATAAAGTAATAAAAATATAATTGAGTTTTATATTATTAATAAAACTATAAATTGATAAATATATATTTATTTTATTTTTATGTATTATTAAAATATTAGGTTTCATAATGTTAAAAACTATGTTATAATAATGATAACGTTTCTTAATGTATTAAAAAATGTTAAGATTCAAATAAAACAAAAAACTTTACTTCTTTAGGAAGCTCCTCCTTTTAAAAATTTCGATGAAAAAACTAGCTAATCTTTAATTATTTAGGAAATAAAATATACACTATCATTATATATATATTTGTTAAAAAAAAAAAATTAATTATAATTAATTTATACTTTTTATTTTTTTAAATTAATATGTATTAATTATTTTTAATTTTTAAAATATATTATATAATTACCCTCTTTTTAAATAAAAAAATATTTTTTTTATATAAAAATATCTATTATTAAACTTTTTAATCTAATTAAATAAAAATGATAAAATTATATTAAAATATATATATATAGTAAAAATTTATTACCAACTTAAAAAATAAAAATATAGAAAAAAAACAATAAAAAAAAAATAATAATAATATAATAATGAGCAATTCTTCACAAAATATATAAATAGGTTTAGAAACACAAGACAATACTCCAAAAAGTCCATAGAAAAGAACTCTAAGGGATCGAATAAAATTAAAAAAAGAAAATGGTTTAAACAATTTATATTAATAAGAAAAATAAATTAGTATAAAATCACACAATAGAAAAAAATCTTAAAATTATAAGCAAAAAGTATAGCCTCAATATACAAACCCAGATACATATGTAAAAAAAAAGAGAATATATATAAATTACAAAAATATAAATATTTAAGCATAGTAAAACTCCAGATTTACTAATTTAATTTGTAGACGAAATTATAAAAGCGGATAAAATAGAAGTTTTGCGCGTATAATATTAAAATTTAAATTTAGAGGAATTCTAAAATTTTTCAAAATTTACTATTGAAAAAAAAATAAGGAAGAAATAAATACTTAATTATAAAAAGAAGATAAAGAATAAATAATATCTTTTTAAATAATGGATTGCATAATTTAATAGGATTAATATCCTATTACAATTTCAGAAAAAACATTAAAAATTATTTAAAAAACGTAATTAAAAAATATCGAATAAATTAGAGAAAGAGCAATAAATAATATTTATTTTTAATTTGATTAATTAGAAAAAGATTTTCATAAATTATTTTTACATACAATATTAAATAGATGTAGAACAATTTAATCAATTAATTATATGCTTTCTTTAATTAACGATTTTTATATTTTAGTATAAAGAAAATAAATAAAAACAAAATTAACTTTAGTAAAAAATTAAGATTTAGAAAGGCTATTCAAAACTGAATTAGATAAAAAATATTAAGTTTAAAGCTGGCCTTTTATTCCTTAATTTCATAGAAAATATTAAGGAATATATAATTATTTTCCTGAACCAGAGAAAGACAATGAATAAATATAAAATATTCTACTATCAGAAAAAAAAAATACAATTTGCTCTGATAATTGTGCTTGTATGAGTTTAGAAACTTTAGGCGATTTTTCTTTAGAAAATGCGACATGGAATTCTGAGTATTATATATATATACTTAATTATTTATATATTTTTGTAAAAAAAAATTAAAGATGTCCAAATAGAAAAGAAAGAATGGAATGTCTACATCATGAATGTAAAAATGCCTAAGGAAGGCTAAAACTTTAAAAAATTATAGATTAAGATGTCCAAGAAACCTTATGTTGGGGAATTGATTTATACACAAAAAAGAATCTGCATTATATTTTACATGAAAATGAATGTGATATAAAAAAACATAATTTTATCCAGAGGTCTCTTTTAAAAGCTGCAAATTTATGTGGGAATAATGGATGGGATATGTAGAAAGTTTGCGAATTTATTATATAGAATAGTAAGAAAAAAGATGAGGAAAATAACAAGGATTATATTTTTAATAATTAAGATAGAAAATTTTCCAAAGTAATTCTTAAAACTCTCAAAATAAATGTTGACCCAGAAGCTTTTAGAATTCATTCTAAAGGAATGGGAGTTATTTGTTTGAAGTAATATTTTTTTATTTTTTTTATTATTTTTTTATCAAAATATTTAATAGCCGTTAAGGAATAGAAAAAAATGATCTCATTATATAATATTTTGGAGAAATTTATAGACCTTATAGATGGTTTGAAAGATAAGATTTCGTTAAAAAATTTATGAAAGAAAATAATTAAAAAGATGTATTACCTGATTTTTATAATATAATGTTAGAAATACATAAAAATGATCCTAAAGGATATGATATTTTAGTAAAAAAATAAAAAAAATAATAAAATAATATAAAAAAGTATGTAGATCCTATGTAAAAAGGAAATTATTCAAGTAGATTAAGTCATTCATGTGATCCTAATTGTGGTACAGTAGCCACAATTAGTGATGGAAAATATAATATATCGATGTATGCAATGAAATCAATAGAATATGGCGAGGAACTAGCTTTTGACTATTCAGCAGTAACAGAAAGTAAATAAGAACATATGTAGGCGACTTGCTTGTGTGGAACATATAAATGTAGAGGGAAATATATAGAATTTAGTAATAATAATTTAAAAGAATATAATTTTATATTGGAAAAAATGCATTGTTTTTTAAAAAGAAATTCAGATTTATTAAGATGTTCAAATGAAATTTTAAATTCGGAAGATTTGAAACTTCTTGAAAAACATAATATGAGAAAAAATATAACAGAAAATTGCCCTTCTTGGCTTATGAAGTGGATTTCGATAATTTTGAAGACTATAGATGAAGAAAAAAGTCTATTTTTGGAACATTAAATGAATACGAATATTTTTTTATTGCATTCTTAAAAGGAGTTGAGGGATTTAGAAGAAAAAAATGAAGAAGAAGATTAGAGTTTATAAATAAAAAAAGAAGAAAAAATAAAAGAAATTTAAAAGCATGTTTAGTTTATTAATTATTTGGCGAATTCTAAAGTGGAAAATAGAATTTAGAATTTGGTTATTTCAATTGATAAAGTTAAGTATTTTCTTAAAAAAGTAAATGATTTTTAAGCCCCTTTAGATTATCTTAATTTTGATTAGATTTTTGAGAATCTATGCGGAAAAAATAAAGAGTCTATACTTGATGAAATATATGATTTAATTACTTCTTATAAAAATTAATGTGGATAAATATTAGTTTATTTTAATATTTTTAGAAAATCTTTTTTGCCTAAATATGCATCTATTTCTAAAAAATAAGGGCTTTTGGCTTTTAGGTTGTTCTGCTTGAATATAAGTGAGTTTTTTAAAAAAATACAAAGCAATTTTCATTCTAGTGCAACTTTTATTACTTTGTATTTTTATTCGTTTACTCATACTTATTTCACTCCGCATGAATATGCGAGTGTTTGTAGCGAAAAAATGAAAATTTCAGAAACTGAAATGTAAAATTTGCATCTTTTGGATACTGAAAAGAAAAAAAAGAAACATTATGAAGAATAGAGAATTTATTCACCTTAATTTATTTGGGGATAACTTACTGTTTGGTTTAAATAAACTATCGCATCACCATAGGCTACTCTTTCTCAAGATAGGAGAGGTACTCTTTCTTTTCCTTCAATTAATTAGAGCTTTAAAACAGATTGTTTTAATTTTCCTTTTTAAGAAAAAAATGATGTATGACAATTTTTTATTTCCTATATATTTTTTTTATTATATTTTTTAGAAATAACCTTTAGTTTCATTTTTAAATCATTTAAAGTCTAAACCTAAAGATATGTGGCCTCCTGAATAAGCTAAGTGGAGCTATAAAAATAATTTAAAGTTTATTATTTAAGAATAAAAAAATTAATATATTAATTATTAAAAAATTTAAAAAAAAGAAATTACGGAACTATACTATTTGAAGGTATACACAGCCAAAATATATTTCCAAATCTAATAAACAAGGTAATAGAATAAGCTTTAAATAGTTTTGAAGAAAAATTTAAACTTTTTGTTGAAGTTGAAAAAGCTTTTTATCCTGAATTTAGTGAAGAGCTAATAATAAATATATAGAAAGAATGTTTTGAATAAATAAATGAAAGAATAATAAATGATAAAAATTAGTATTATAATAAAAATGATGATGAAATTCTAATAAATAATAATAATATTAATAACAATTAATAATATTAATAATAATAATAATAATAATAATAATAATAATGTTAATAGTTACAATTTCAATAATAATTTTAATAATAATATTCAAAAATTAAGAAGAAAATAAAAAAATATTAATTATAATTTAGAAATTGATGAATTATTAGAATATAAATTTGAACCAAAAATAAAAAAAAAACTAAATACAGCGAATTTATACTAAATGATATTAAAGATGATATAAATATGCTTTATAATTAAGAAAATGATGAAAATAATTTAAAACTTCTTGTTATAAATATTAGTAAAAAACTTTTTGAATAAATATAGGTTAATAATAATTGAAACACATATAATAAATTTAAATTTTATATAGATCATCTCATTTTTTATTTTTTTACTTTTATTATAATAATTTTTTTTAATTTCTAAATTTGAATTGTGTTATATTCATGTTTAATTAAATCTTATTAAAATTTAATTTTTTATGTTTGAATAGATTTTTATAATTTATAGTTAAAATTATATTTTATATTTTTTGAAATTCAATCTTTATATTAAAAAATAAAACTTTAACAAAAATCATATAAATTTTATTAAATTCCTTCATAAATATTAAAATATTTATTTATATTGTATAAATTTAATAAAGTATATTTAAATTAATTAAAAACTTTAAACATTAATATCCAAAATAATAATTATTAATTTAAATTATGTTTATTTTAAATAATCTAAATATTATATTTTATTTTATATAAAATAAATATTTATTTTTATTTTAGTATATAATTGATATATAAAAATGATAAAATATATTTAAATATAAATATAAAAATTATTACAATAATTTTTTATATATTAATACATTTTTTTATAATTTATCTGTTAATAATTTATTTAAAAATTAATAAATTGACACAAAAATACAATAAAAATAATTTATATATTATTATAAAAATAAAATTAAATAATGATATTTATTCATAATAAATTAATTTATATTATTTAAAAATATATAAAAAAATTAAAAAATAATGAAAATTAATTAATTTAAATATTAAGGAATAAATAAATAATTAAATTATATATTTTATATATTAGAGTATTATAAAATTGATTCTTTTAAAGTTTATTTATTAATATTTATATATAAAAATAATATATACTAAATAAAAATAAACATTAAATAAAAATATATAATAGTACTATTATAATTATAATATTTATTAATAAAAAATAAAAAATTAGACAAATTAAATAAAATATTAAAAAACTAAAAAAAATATTAAAATACATAATTTATATTAGAAAAAAAATATATATTAATATTTTCAAAATATAAATAAAAATTAAATAATTATAAAATTATAATAAAGAAAATAAAACTTATATAAAATTATATTAACAAAAAGATGATAATAAATAATAAAAGTAAAAATAAAGTATAAAATTAAAAAAGATTAAATTATGTTATATAAATAATAGATATAAAAATTATTTAAAAATTAGTATTTATATTTATATTTATATTTATATTTATATTTATATTTATATTTATATTTATATTTATATTTACATAATTATTTTTCTTTCTTTTTTCTTTTTTGACATACATTGTTATTTTTTTTAATCTTTATATTTTAATTATGTTCATTTACTAGATTTTAGATATTTTATAATATTGTTAAATTTTACCAAACAAACGATATCTATCTTTATATTTTTTTAATAGTTGAAAAAATAAATTTTTATTATATTTTTTGTTGTATAATATTTTTTAAACTTAAAACATAATTTTTTCTAAAATGGAAGTTTTTTTTTGAATTATAAAAATTTTAATTTGAAATTTTTTTAATTTTTTTTTACATCTTAATCTATAATTTTTTTTTTTTTTTTTTCTTAAGAATTTTTTATCTTTTTTATTTATTTATAATTGAATATATATATTCCTTATTCATAATTTTAATTAAAATTTATAATGAATAGAGAGAGTTTTTTTAAATAGCTAAATTTGTGAATTTTTATTTAAAATTTATTAATCGATTACAAACATATATTTATATTAATTTTTAAAACAGATATGTAAAATATATTAAATGTAGTGGTCTTTTAAACATATTAAATAATTTTTATTTTTTAAAATTTTACATTTTACATTTTAAAAGGAATAATAAATAAGAATGTCTAAAATTTTTATTTTTTAAAAAAATATGCGAAATTATAAAAATCTGGATTAATTAGATTTACTTACTTTTTCTCTTTCTTAATTATAAAAATAGTAAATTTTTTTTTTTTATTTAGTTTTTTTTATTTATTTAATATTTTTTTTTTATAATAAAATCAATTTTATAAACATTATTTTATATATAAGAATTTGAAAAAAAATATCAATATATTTTCTTTATTGTTATTTTTTTGGAAACTTTTATATTTTTGATTTTAAATTCTTTCTAAAATATATTTTAAACATAAATTTTTTCATCTTAAAAGTGACTATATTCTTCACTTAGTTATTTATGCTCCACAGTTAAATTATTATTTTCACAAAGTATAGCTGTTCTAAGTAAACTTTAATCTTTTTTAAAAATAGGGACTTCGAATTAAGTAGTTTCAATATTTTCAAGTGTGTCTTGATAAAAAAGCGAACTATCAAGGAATTTTTTTTCCGAATGTATTTTTTTCTACTTTTTTTTCTTTTTACAATTGTCCGTACACCAATCCAAGCATGATTCAGTTATAAAATTAACATTTTGAAAATCCAATTCTGCCAAAAAAGCTTTATAAATCAAATTATAATTAGGCTTCTCATCAAATTTAAGGCTAAAAATGTGCTAAAAGAATATTTTTAAGCCTTCTTCTTCAATTTCTTTTAGAATATTTTAACAAAACCGAATCTTCATTTCTTTTATTAATTCAAATTTTAATTCTTTTTCTTCGCAATTTATATTTTACCAAGGCAATTCGCCTTTCAAAAAATATACTAAAACATATCCTAAAGACTCCAAATCGTCCCTTCTAGACTATTCTAGACCTCTATGGCTATTTATAGATGTATATCTAGCAGTACCAACTAGTCCTCGATTATTTATTAATTATATATGATTGCTGTTGTATATATATTATTTCGATAATCCGAAATCTATTATATGGATTTTATGTTAATTACCTTCTGTCCCAATCACAAAATTCTCAGGTTTTATATCTCGATGAATGTATTATTTATTGTGCATATGTTCTATTGCTTAAAGCATTTATATACCACATATAAATACTGTTTTGGATGAAAAGTTAACCACTTTTTTCTTTAATTACTCGAGATTTTAGCCCAAATAGGACATTATTAATATTTGGTGGGTTTCTGTTATTATTTAATCTATTAACCTCGGAAAATGAATACTGTCTTACATTTCATGTAAAATATGGAATTCCTTTTATATTAAGGTTCGAATATTTGTTTCTTTTTTGTAGTCCTTTTTTTCAACTTTTATTGCTCGTAATTTCTTGTCGTAATTATCAAATACTTTATGTATTTCACCGAATGAACCGGCACCTATTTTTTCTAATTACGTGTATCGCTCGTTTACAGTTATTTCTTATATTATTTTTTTAGGAATATATTCACTTAGTGCATATTTCATTATTAAAAATTTATATTATATATAAATTTTTTGTTATTTTTTTTTATAATGTTAATTTTTTAATGTAATTTAAATAAGCATTTTTAAATTTATTATTTGTATGTTATTTAATATATTATTATAAATATTAATCATTTAATTTATTATATTAATAATTCATATTTAACTTTAATTTTATGTATATTATACTTATTATCTAACATATCGAATAATTTTAAAATTGTAAATATTTTTAGTTGTTTTTAGATATATTTCAATTTATAAAATTTATTAAATGTCTTTTTGAATGAATAATTAAATATTTTGAACAAGAGTTTATTTTTTTTTAAAAAAAAATATAATATTATTGTTAAATGTTTTGTAAATTATATAATATAATTTAAATAATAATATTAGTATTAAAATTAATTTAGGTATATAAAAAACTAAATAATATAAAATTATTAATTAAAAATAAAAATAAATTATTAAATAAATAATAAAATTAAATAATTTACTTCAAAAAACAATTTATTATTTTTTATAAATAATATATCAATTTACAAAAAATATTTCAATATTTATAAAAATAATATAAAAAAAATGCAAGAATTAAAAATAAATAAAATTTCATATACATCAAAAACAAATGGCGAGCACAAATATGGGTTGGGAAAGCATTTTTTAAAGAAAAAAAATATATATTTAGAAGATAAAAAAGCAGAAATATATACTCCAACATAATTAATGCAAGAGTACCTAAAAAAAGCAAAGATGAAGGTTTAATATTAAATAAATTAACATTAGGAACATTCAAAGCTCTAAACGGTTATAAATATTAAGGTTTTATGGCCACGGAAGACATTAAGCCAAACGATATTTTAGTGAGAGTCCCAAAAAACTTAATATTAAATACTAAGAAGTGTTTTTTTAGTGACATATAGGTTGTAATTAAAGATAATTTGGACTTTTTTACTAGTAAGAGAGGAACAGGAGGATTAATAGAAGATCATATAATGCTAATATATATATTAAGATAATATTAACTTGGAAAAGAATCGGAATGGTATTATTTAATAAATAATCTACCTAAATGCATTAATTTAGTCGATTTTTGGGAAGAATAAGAATTGGAGTTGCTAGAGGATAAAGTTTTTTAAGATCGAGTTAGGAAATAGAAATTGTATTTTGATTATTTATATAAAAAAATAGTTAATATTTTGGAAAAATATCCGGAGTTATTTTCTGCAGAAACTTATTCTTATGAAAATGTTAAATGGATTTATATACATTTGTGGTCTAGATGCTTTGGGGGATCGCTTGATTATGTGAGTTTTGTTCCTATAGTAGAAATGATGAATCATGAAAATACTAATTTATTCTTTAGAGTACATAAAAAAGAAGATATTATTGAAGTTCAAGAACTAAATTAAAAAGAAAAGGAAAATTATACTTCTTCAGATAATGAATCTTATATGAGTGATGATAATATGTTATTAAGTGAAGGAGAAATAGAAGAAGATAATAAATAATAATAATAAGATGAATAAAAAAATTATAATATATAATAATAATTACCAAAAAATTTAAAAAAAATTGTTTAAGATATTGAATAAATGCTTTTGAATGAGTTTGATTTAGGGGATGATTGCTCTATTTTTTTCGTAGGTAAAATTCTTTAAAAACTAGAGATTTTACAAATGAAAAAAAATCCGGTTTAAGAATTAAATAGTTTGAAGGAATTAAGTTAGTTTTATAAAGAAAATCTTAAATATTATAGCAAAATCTATATTAAAGATAATTAAGTATATAATACTTAATAAAAGTAAGTTTTCTAAAATGAAATTGATGAAAATTCTAAAGTATATAAAATAGATTATTCTCTAGTTTTGAATTTTACTGAAGAAGAATAAAAGTGGAAAAATAGTGATTTTGATGAATTTATATTAATGTGTGATAATTCGGATTCTTTTTAAAAAGGTGCTTAAGTTTATTTTTGCTATAATAGATTGTCTAATAGAAGTATGCTAAGTAAATATGGAATGGCCTTATAATATAATAAATATGAATTTGTTTATTTTAGATATAATTATATTAATGATATTTTTAAATATGCCCCTAAGTCTTTCCCTTATATTAAATATTTTGAATTAAATAAATATAAGAGGTTCAAAATTCAACATACGAAACTTAATATGAAAATTATTACTTTCGCTAAGGCTATGTTCTGGGATTTAACTTATTAATCTATAGAAAGTGTTTTCAATCCTTCAATTAATTTGAGTTTGGAATTAAAAGGTCTTAATAAAGTTAAAGAAATGTATGAGGAATATATATAAAATGCAAAATTTAGTATTGAGGAAAACGAGAGTATGCTTCAAAGTTAAGATTTGAATGGGAACTAATATTTTGCTATTATTTATAGGTTAGAAAGATAAAGAATTATTAAAAATTAACAAAATTTAATTAATATTATTATTCATATAATTTAATAAATGCTTGAAAAATAAGAAAAAGGTCGCGATTTTTTCAATGAAAAAACTTTTTTTGAAAATAATTAAGAAGAAATGCATAGAAACAGATATATAATAAGAAAATACGTATAATATTTTCCTGAAAAAAATATATAATTTTGATTAAACATAAAAATATATTAATTTATAATAATATATTATATATAGAGATATAAAGTATCATAAATCAACAACTTATTTATGTTCTTCCTCTTCCCCATCTTCTATATTTCTAGCAGAATGTATTAGAGCATTAACCTCATGATTGTTATTTAAATTAATGTTTTCATTATTATTATTAATCTCATTATTATAATTAAAATTTAAGATATTATTTTTATTATTATTAATTGTTTAAACTTTATCATAATATTCATACTATTTTTCAATACCATCTTCTTCAATATTTTATTTTTCTTCTTCCTAATTATCTTCATTACTTTAATTAAGATTAGATATTGTATTTTTAATATGACTATCTTCAAATTATTTATATTAAACAAATGCTGCTTTAATCTTAACATCAATAGATTTACATAATACCTCTTTTTCATCAAAAAACTCGAAAATTCCAGATTAATCAAGTAACTTTCTTGTTACGTCAGAAACTAGAATTCTTCCCTATTCTCCATTACTCTCAAGTTTATTTGCAATAACAACATCTCTTCCATAAATATCATATCTTACAATATCTGTTCCTATTACACCACCGATAATTTTACCTGTATGAATACCTATTCTCATATCTAAAGCATCGAACTTTATTTAGGCACGCGTTTCTTTTATCTTCTCAATCATACTAAACCCCATATTTGCCACATTTCGTGCTTCTATTACTGGATTACGTTTCCTACTGTCTGTGAATCCTATAACTACATAGCAATCTCCGATAGTATAAAGTTTAAATACTTCATTATCTAAACAAGATTTATCAAATTCAGTAAAAAGTTTTTTTAACATATTTACTACTTACTCAGGTTCAACAGAAGATGAATATTTTGTAAAACCAGCAATATCGGCAAATAAAATAGTCACATCTTCGAAATTATCAACTAATTCTAGCTTTGTTGAATCAGGGTTATTAAGAAATTTCTCTAAAACATGTTTAGGTAGGAGGTTGCTTAGTATTTTATTTTATTCATTTGTTTTCTTTGTTAGACTTTTGAGATTGTTAAAAGACTTTATATTTAATTAGAAAAGTAAATACTAATAAACTAAATGGGCTAATCCACTTACGATATTAAAATAACTAAGATTTGCTTATTAATTTTTTATTACAGTCATGATCATTTAATTAATAAAAACGAAGAAAAAGCAAATTAAACAAATTTTAAATCTAATAAAATTAAAAGAACCTAAAATAGCAAAAATAAAATATACCTCAATAGTTTAAATTCCGTACATAGATTTAATTAAATCATCAGTTAGCTAAGAAGTATCGATTGTATATGTTTCTAAAGTCACAATAGCAATTGAAACTATCATTATTATTATTATATAGGATTAATATCGGGTATAAGTATTAAGATATTTTGTTATGAAGCAATTTATTATTATTATTAATGCATAAACTAAGCTTCTGTTTATTACGTTTACTACAAACATAGTATTGAAATAATCTTTTGCTAAGAAAATTAGTATTGTTTTTAACATAAAGGCGTTAGCGAAAATTAACATTTTTATTTTTATTTATTTCTTTGATTGGGAAAATATCTATTCATAAAATTATTAAGTTTCTTATTACTCGAAATCTAGTTCTAAATAAAATGATTTCTTTGTCAGTGCTAATAAATTCCTTATATCATTATGATTCTTTTATATGAATAAAAAAATAATTAATATTATGTATATATGTGGTTTTGTAATTAAAATTAAATTACACGTTCTTCTTCTTTGCTTTCAAAAAGTTCGTTTATAATTTCCACATCAACATCTTATCCTTCGAAAGCATTTAATTATTCTAAATTAAGTTCTTCTTTTAGTGCGTTTTCAATTCTGCAAATAGTATTTAATTAAGAATCCCTTCTATAATCACCCGCTTAGAAAGTGTCTTTTGACCCAGTATGCATTATAGCTCCTGAAGCTTATTAAATAGCATTCTTGCTGTTAATTTTTTACTTGTTAATAATAGGAGCAGGCAATTAATTAGTAGATTTTTCAGAACTAATTTTATTAAGGAGATTATCAGTTTAACCATTTTCCTTTTTTTCCATTAAATTATTTGACATAGCATTTAATTTAACAGTGGACTTTTTTGTTACTTTTCTTGGATAATTAACATTTTTAATACCAGTAATTGCCAACTTTAATTATTGAGGAGGTTAAACAATTTAAACAGGAGACTTTTATTGAATTTAACTTTTTATATTATTTGAATTTTAGTAATTATTTTATGTAATAATTTCTTTATTTTTATCAATATAAGATTTTTTTATAGGTTTTTAGTTTTTATTATAAATTCCACTTTTTGAATTTATTTTACTTCCTGGTCTAATAACTTCTGTGATTTTTTAAGTTCCTTTCCCCATCCCTTTTGTATTAGATTTGAAAATTTAATAAGTAATCATTACGCCTTTTCCCTTAGCTTCCACTTCTCGAAGGATAACTCTATAGTTTTATTAATTTTGAGATTATATTTTATTATGTGCAGCTTCTGAAATTGTCATTTTATTATCTTCTCCAGTAGACATTACTCTTGATGTGGTATTTATAGTATCTCCAATAAGAGAAAATTGGGGTTTATGGTAACCAAGTACACCTGCTATAACTCTTCCGTAGTGAATTCCTATTTTGACCTTCATTTTTTCACCAGTGGAACCCCAAGAAATATTTTTTACGTAATTCATCATATCGAATCCTAAATTAATTAACCTTTCGACAGCGTTTAATTAGTTATGTGTTTTTTTTGCTGTTGCTTCTACACTCAAACCGGATGATGCGACGTAAGATTTTCCGACGGTTTCAATTTTCGTACATTCGTTTTGGGAACATAAAACATCAAAGTTTCTGAATAAATTGTCTAATAAAGCTATTATTTTTTCGTTTTCTGATTGCAGAATTTAGTCAAAGTCACATATATCACAGAATAAAACTCCTACTTCCCCTTAGTTTTCAGCTAGTTATACTTCTCCAGTATTTGATATGCGATCACGTACAAATTTTGGTAATAAAATACTTAGTATATTATTTATTTTAGCACTCTCTATTCTTAGTTTATTTTGGGAAAGATAATCATGTCTTTCTACTTTTTCGTACTTTTTATTAAAAAAATAATAATTAAATTATTATATATACTTTTGATTAATAATATATATATTTTTTTTACATTATATTTAACATAAATAAGTTGTATGGCAATAACTAAAGTATACAATATAATTGATAATGTAATATAAATTTATATATTTGTTTTATTATCGAGAGATTTAATAGCATATCTAATAAAAAAAATAAATGTCTATAAAAAATTGGCATAAAGAATAAAATCTGGCCTTCCTAATACTATAAAATTAAAGAAAAATCCATATAAAATAGTAAAAAGGGAATTATCTATATCTATATATAAATCTACTGCAATTTTGCAAAAAATTCTTATAAAAAAAAGGCAGAAATTTATTTTAAAAAACTGTTTTTCGCCTTTAGAAGAAAAAAGAAGAATTAGAAAAATACCCAAAAATATAACAGATACAGCGTAACCAATTATTATAACAAAATATTAGTTATCTATTTTATTAATTGTTACTTAAAGCATAATAAGACCTTCTAATAAAATTACACTAGCCAATTAACTCATACGGTTAAAATAAAACCAATTTTTAATAAGATTTTAACGAAATTAATTCTCAAGATCATTATTTTTAAATTGTAGAGAAAATTTATTCATTTCTGAATTTTGTTCATTACATTCAGTATTAGATATCACTATAATTAAAAAACATAAAATTAAAATAAATTTATAGCATTAAATATATTAAAATTTGTAAATAATTTTATATTTAATTTAATTTAATTTATTATATTATATTTAATTTATATTTATAATTAATTTATTTTATTTTTTCTAATTTTTTAATTTTTATATAATTTTATATTAAATTTAAATTATATTTTTTTTTATTTTTATTTTTTATATTTTAATATTTTTTTATTTTATTTTACTGTTTTTTAATATAATATCCATTTATTCTTAATCTTCTTATTTAAATATTTTCTCTATTAATCTACTTATTAAATTTTTGCTTTTTATATTTTTTTTTTATATCGAATTTTTTTCATTATCTTTTTAAATTTTTATTAATATATATTATATATACATAATTTACATTTTTAATATATTATTTCTTTTTTATATTTAATGAATTTTTATTCTTATCTTATAACATTTATTGGTAAAAAAGAAGGAATAATTGGGCAATACTCAAGAAATATATCAAATGAGAATATGAATACAAAAAGACTAAATATTAATATTATTACAGTTACAGAATCTATATATTCGCTTAACTCTTTAAAAGCAAAAGGATTATCTTTGTAAATATCTTCTAAAGGTAAATAAATAGCACAAGATACAATATAAAAAATAAAAGTTGCTATTGCTTCTTTATAATTTTATTTTGCAGTAATAAGAATTTTTATTGTGCATGTAAATCCTATTGCGAAAAAACTAAAAACTTACATTGTTCTTGTTGTGTATGTTTTACCATTTTGTTTAGAATAGAAATTTATAATCCAATAAAGAATCATGTAAATAACAATTGATTCAGAAAAACTATGGAATATGATTTTATAAAAGAAAATTATCATTTTTTATTTTTTGAAAGTTGTTATATTATTTTTATATTGGTTTACTAAAATATTTATATTGATTGAATATTTATGTAATTTAGTGTATTTTTTTATCAAATAACTAGTCAAACTAACAATATAAAATGAAGAATGATAAAAAAATAATTATAATCCATCTAAAATAGAACTACCAAAAGTGCAATCTTATATATTTAAAAGTAAAATAACATAACCAATAACAAAAGATCTATAAAAAGAATATAAAAGTAAATCTTCATATACTTCTGCCATAAACCTTGATTAAGAAAAAATTAAATTAAGTATACTATTATAATCATTAACAAAAATATCACCTAAATAATCCATATTATATTTTGTATTTCTCATTTATATAGAAACGTCAGCAACTTTAAACATCTAAAAAATTATAAAAAAAAATTATACAAAAATTATATATAAAAAAAAGTTATAAATAAAAAATTCCACATCTATATCATTATAAGAGTCTCCTATAGCAAGTGATTTCGGATTTTAAGGAAATTTTTATTAAACCATTCTAACAAACCATCCTTTTTAACTTGTAGTAAGTCCATATCCAATAACCGAGCAAGACAAAAAGCAAATAAAATAGAAATGATTTCTTAAATAATTATCTGAGAAAATTATCGATAAAGCCTCTGAAGAAACAACAATTGAGAAAAGATAAGGTTTAAATTATTATATTGCTTTTAAATCTATTCCTTCTTAATCTTAATTAAAATAATATTATAAATATTTATTATAAGCCTTTTAATTTTAGCATATAAGTTTTCCTAGTTTACTCTCATTTTATATTGCATTTAATTACTCTCTAATAAGAACTTTTATTGTCTCATAATTTTTACCTTCTAAATGCAAAATAGATGATTCTTAATCTAAAATTCTTGAACAATAACCTACTGTTAGTGCATTTAAGTACTCATCTCCAGTCAGCATCCATGTATAAAGTCCTGAAAGTCTCATCTATTTAATTGCAGTGTCTACGTTTTCCCTCATTTATTCTTATATGCCGAATACAGCTATTATTTGAACATCTCGTTCTATTTCTTCGTATAATTTTTGCAATTTTATATCATCTTGGACTAAGTTTTTTTTCAAATTTTCATATTGTCTTAAATAGTCGTCTGTTTATTCATCGTTGAGTTCTTTTTTGCAATATATAAGGGGTCTCATGCCTTAAAAAATCATACTTTAGATCTATTTTTCTAGTTTTACTCTCTGTTCTTTATCTTTGAATATAATTTATTCGGGGATTTCGGCATTATTAAGAAGTATTTTTGAATAAAGAATTGATCCGTTATTAGGATATAGGCTGTTGGGATCTCTAAATATTATAGAGTAAAAATTCCTGTTATCTGTTTGCTCATTTATGGCTAATATTTTATAAGAAACGTATTTATTTTATATTGAAATTATATAATTAGGTGAATAAGTTTAAGATTTATAAACCGAAGCACATTTTAGATCATATGTAAAAATAGAGGCAAATTATAAAGTATATTACTCAATACTGGAAGTATGAGAGTTTAAGATTTTGTCATTTTTTTAATCATATTAACTTGTAATTTAATTGCAAATAATGATAGCAAGAAGACATTCATGAAATGATTTATTATATTCATTAAAAAGTGTATTTATAAAATCTATTTCATTATTTTCTTCAATTTTAGACTAATGTCCGTTATTTTAAAAATGGCTATTATTATTATTTTTATTAGAATATTGAGTATGTTTCATTTCTGATAATCCTCGTGTTTATCTTGTTTTTTCTTCATTTTATTCGTTTGAAATTACAACTCCTCCTTATTATAAAATAATATTATTTGGTTAAAGATCATTATTATAATTATAAATATTATTATTATTGTTATTAACATTATAATTATTATTTATATTAGCTTATTATATATATCTGTTTTATTTTATATTTATTTAATGTTTTACTTCGTCTCTTTCTTCTTCTTCGTCGCATTATGATTCGTCTAATAATCTATGATTTAATACTTGTATACCTATTTAACTACTATTTCGCGTAAAATTAAATTATGCTTAAGGAATTTAATTTGTATTTTGTAAAGAATTTTCTTCAGCAACTATAACATCTTCGTTTTCAATTAGTTCTTTCACACTTTTATTAAAATTAAATACTGTAAAATTCTTATTTTTAACTATTTGTAAGGCTTAATTTGTATCAATAGAAAAGATTTTCCCATCTAAAATTATCATTTTAATATCCATATTTTATCCATCTGTAATAGTGCCTGTTTTGTCAAAAAATACATAATTGCTTAATGAAATATCACTTAAGGTCATAGAGCGTAGCATCTGATATCCATTAATATTACTTCTTTAATTATCTTATAATTATTCTTAGATATATTAAAATTATTTATTATGATAATAATCATTGATCATTAATAAAAGATCAATTACAACATAAAAAAATGAAGGTAGTAAATGTAAATATTCAATTATAAAAGATAAAAATAATGCAAGTGGATCTTAAACTATATTCATATATTAAGAACTAATAAAACAAGGTTATAAAAGGACAAAAAAACAAGAAATCTAAAAATAAAAAATATATTTTATAATTAATTATAATATTAAAAAAAATATAAAAACTTAAATATATAAAATATATATATTATCATATAATATAAATTAAATATAAATATATATTTATATATATATATATATATATAAATTTTTATATTTATTTATATATTTTTATATATATGAATATTCTTATTTATATTTTATATTTAATTTATTTTTTTTACAATGCAATTTATTAAAACATGAACATAAGCAACTAAATAAAATAGTTTTGCTTTTTTTCCAAAAAATGAATTTTTTTGTTTACTCTAGGAATAATTTCCATATTATTTATATATTTTGCAATCTCTTCCTGCATAAATTACTAGTCCATAAATCCAATCACTATAATAAAGTTTACTTCCTCTAAATATAATATTTTTAGAATCTAAATTTTCTCCTTTAGGATCTTTGCTCATTTTAATAAATCCTTCAAAACTTTTATTTTTAGATTATCGTGTATATTCGATTTTTCCTGATAAAATCTTTCTATATTCAAATTAATTCATTTTTAATTTTGAAGTAACAGCAACTAAATTAAAAAAATATAAAATAAATATTTAAATATACCTGAAGTTAATTCTGGAGGAACCTTTTTAATTTACCTAGTTGTTCCATCAATAATATCTTCATCTACATAGCAAAATTACTATCTAGCGTCTAGAATTAGTAAATCTGCAGGTGCTTTTTCACCATTTTTCAGCCAAACAATATCTCCAACTTCAAGTTATTCCCATCTAATTTGGTCACAAATCTTTATCATTTTTACTTTTTGTTATAGTTTATTTTATAAATTTAATACTGAACTATCTTTTGTTTGTTATTATTATGCTGAAGTTTATTGTTGTTTATTCAATAGAGAATTCTCTATTTTTAGCTGATTTTACTATTATTATTTTAATATATTACTGCCTATATTTTAGTTATTTACTTTTTTATCTTAAGAGTCTTTATAGTTTAACTAACATTTGAATTAAGATTATTGAATCTATATTTATCTAGGAGAAACATTTCCTTAGTTTTGACTTTAAACTACTATTTAGGGCTAATTTGAACCTAAATGCTAATTTTCATCTGCGTTTTCCTAGTTCTCTTAATCAACTGCAGATTAATAGTTGTTAAAATTCTTTACTTTTTTAAATTAGCTTAAAACAGTACAATATTGCTTATTTATTTAATTTTCCTTTTGAATGTTTTCTCTTTATAAATTTAATTCTCTAAAACAGAAAATTATAAATGATAACATTATTGGAGCAATATACAATAAAATTATATCTATTCTATATTATTTTAGAATAAATTGTATATATTTATTTATATGTGCTATTTTTATATAATTATTTATACGTATTATGTGAAAGGTATTCGCTCTCCCAACTTTTAAATACTTAGGCAAATATTATTGCTATTATAGAATTTATTAATATTAAATTCATTCCTAATCTATGTAAAAAATTTAAAAATATCCCTGGAAATAAACCTATTATCTATTATTTTTTAAAAAAATTAATAAATTAATATATAATTAAAAATATATTTATAATAGCAATATATTTTTATTTTTATTACCTCAAGTTCTGAAATACCTATTTTATTTGAAATACGATCTTCGTATGGTTTAAAACCACTTAATTATACTAAATTACCAAATTCTAATTCAATCTTTAAGGTTTATATAAATTTAAAAGGTTTAATCAATATTTTAAATATAAAAAAACATAATATGAATATTTTTGATTTATTTATTTTATTTTACTAATTTATCAAAAGTTTTTTGCTTTCTAATTTCAACATCCCCTACATCTTCGTCTCCAAAAAAAAGTTTTCTTTTTAAAAAGTCGAAAAACTGTATTACAATTTTTCTCATTTATTTATTAAATTAAAATTATTATGTTTAAATATAAATGTTAAACCAATAATATTTTTAAATATATATTTTTCAATTTTTTTCAATTGTTTATTTTAATCAATAAAGAGTGTTTAGTAATAATTTATTTAATAAAATAAATATTCTTTTATATTTTATTTTTAAAAATAATTAAATATATATATATACTATTTATAAATTTTAAAAGTTATAATAAAAAGAAATTTAATACATATATATTTAAATAAATAAATATTATGTTTATATAATTAAATAAAATATATTTATAATATATATAATTAATTTAATATAAAAAAATTAAATTTACTTTTGTTAATTTGATTTTTTAATTTCTATTTATTACTATATTTTAATAAAAAAATATTATTTTGTTTTTCTAAAAATATGGTTTTTACTTTTTTCAATATTTTTTTAAAAATATAATAATATTTTTGATTTTAATTAAAATTATATACATTAAATAATTTGATTTAATCAAATATATATGATATAATAAGATAAAAAAAATAACTGTATTTTATATATAATATAAATATATATTCTCAAAGTATTACAATTTTAGTATATAAATCAAAACAAAAATGAATATATATGATAAACAGCGACTTTATTAATCATAATTATCCAAAGAGTTTTAATAGTTTTTTTTAAAGAATCCTATTAATCAAAAAGATGTTTAATATGTTTTTGATATTCATGTAATATAATATATAAAAAAAATCAAAAAAAGCTAAATTAAAATGTTAAAAAAAATAAAAGACTAATTCACTTTTTGATAGAGATATATTAGAATAACTTTATGAGTAATTAATAGCAAGAAATTTACAAAATTAAGATTTTGAAATAACATTGGATAATTATTTATTGATATATATAGAAGCAGAACAAGTATTATAAGAAAAAATAAATAATTGTTAATAATAAGTTTAAGACTGTTAAATATAATACTAAAAAGCATAAACTTAGCTTCCTACAATAAGATAAAGCTAACAATATGAAAACGATAAATTACAAAAATTATAAATAATTGTCAAATAAGTACATTTATATTAACCAAATACAGTATTTGTGAAGATTAGTGTATAAAATTAAATAATGTAAACAGATTAAAGATTTGGATAAGACATAAAATTTGATAATGAATTTAATTTGTAAAAAATAAAATCCATAAATATATATATTTTAATCTTTTTTTTTATTCAAAGCCAAATTATTTCAGGATTTGAATATATTAATGTGGAAATAATTGATGCTAACTTATAAATTTTAGGTAGACTTTGTATTCCTATTTAAAATTTGTAAGATTAATATATACATGATGACTAATATGCAATAGATGGAGGAAATATTAGTCTATAAATGCAATGGATTTATAATTAAGTTTTTTTTTTTTATTTTTTTAAATAAATATTTTTTATTTTTTAGTTTTAATATTTAACTGATGTATTAAAAAAATGGAATGATTAAATCATTCAAATATAATAAGATGAATAAGATTATTAATAAGATTTGAATACTTTAAAATCAGCATTTCGTGAATAAGAATAGCAAGATATTAAATATAAAATTATTATAACTTTATTTTTTTTATTCCTTTTACTTGTAATACTTATTTAAATTTTCAGAGCTATATTTTTTGATGTAATAATTATTTATAATAAAATAAATATTATATATAATATATATATATATATATATATATATATATATATATATATATATATATATATTAATTATAATTATAATTTATAATCAAAGTGGATTATATGCCTTCTTGTTATTATATTTTATTAAAAATATAATTTTACTTATGATCGTGTTAGATTTATATTGTATTTGTTATTCATATCTATTATTTTAAGATGTTATATGGTTGTATATATTCAGCTCAGGATGGTGGAGTGTATATTCATCAAATTACAATAACCCTTTATATTTAGAATAAAATATTAGAAGATTTATTATTATTCTAAGTTATACTTTGTTTTTCTTAAAAGTAATATATAAGTATATTTATATTTTTATTTTGTTTTTATTAAAAAGCTATTAATTTAAGTCAAATTGTTTAAAATTAAAGTAAAATTATAAGAATAATAAACTGTTAAAAAATATGAAGAAAACGATTAAATACAAAGTATGTACAATTTTAATAGACTGTAAATTCTTTGATTTTTATAATAATAAGAAATTTTCTTTAAAATATTAAAAAAAGTTTAGTATATTTCTTTATATTATTAATATCTAATACTAAATATAAAATATATATTTATATTTGAATAAATTCTAAAAAATATCTTTATTTATATTATTTATCATTATTTTTAAATTAAAAAAAAAATAATAATTTATTTAATTTATAAAACTTAATTTCCAAACAATTTTTTATTTAAAAAAAAATAAATTTTACCTTATAAATAAAATAAAATATCTATTTTCAGAAATAAATAAAAATCATTTATTCCTATAAGAAAATGAATAAGTGTAATATTTGAAAGGATTTCTATCCCAAGTGTAATGTCTAGTAGGGAAGCTATTATTAAAATTTCTTTTTCTATATAAGGTATCTTTTAAATCAACAAATACATTATATGCTCCTCTATCAAAAATAGCACTTTTTTCAAAAGATTCATAATAATTAATTTCTAATTTTTAATATTCATTAATAGGAAGCATCCTAGAAAAATCTAAGGTTGCTTGTTTATTATATATAGAATAAATTTTTTAATACGAGGACAAAATATTTTATGATCAGGGTTTATTAATTCACCTAATGGTACTTACAATTGTTTATTTCTTTCAATTATCTTTAATTATCTTTTATATTCTTCAATAGAAACTATATTTGGGATAAATGTTTAGATTTAATTTTAATTTATATCAGCAAAAATATAAAAGCTATCTTTTTCAGGCTCAACTTTTGTATGTTATAAAATTTGACATTTCATTTAATATTCAAAATCATTATTTTTAAATATTTTTTCATGTTTTACTTTAAGTAATTCATTTATATCTTAAGAACGTATTTTTTGTTCAGATAGCTAATTTTCTAATCCTTACCTTTTTTCTTTTTGCATTTATTATTCTTCTTTGTTTAGTCTTTAAAGTATTACAGATGCTGGTAAAAATGAAGATGTCTAAAGTATTTATCTTTTACGCTTATTCTAATATGAAGTAAGATTTTCCCAAAATCCTTATGCAAATTTTATATCTGAATGAAATTTATTTTATTTAATTTCTTCTCCAATATTTTATGACTTTGTCATTTATTCTTTTTTTTCAATATTTTTTTTTTTTTTTTTTCAACTTCAAAAAAATATAAATAATATTTTTAATATTATAATGATTTATTAAAAAAAAAAAATATAATATAAATTATTTATTTTATTAAGTTTATAATAGAAAAAATAAGATATTATTTATAATTTTATTTAAATAAATTTCAAAATATTTATAAATATTTTACATAAAAAGTTTATTTATTTAGTTTTTTTGCTATTTTATTTTTTATTTTTTTATTTTTTTCAATTAAATTTTTATTAAATAATATAATCAGAGTTTTATTATTTAATTTTTCTATCTTCAGATAAAACTTTTTTTCTGTTAAAGCGATTTTATTATCTATATATTATACAGCTTTAAAGTGCCTCTTTTTTTAAAGAATTGCTTCTTACAATATACATATTAGGTTCATTTTAATTATCTTCATTTTATGAAATAGTATGTTTAAATTATTTATATTTTATTAGCCTCTTATATGAATTTTAAAGCATTTGTTATAAATACTTTTAATCCATATATCTTTTTTTGACGATTACATCTACATTTAAAAGTCCATTATACTTAGCATATTAGAAAAGATTTATTTTTTAATCAACTAAACTTACACTTTTTTTTTGTTATGATTATTAATATTTTAATCTACTTAATCTTTACTTATTTCTAGGGGTTAATTGATTAGTTTGATTTTTTTTTTAGTATTCCCAAGGATTAAGGTCTTAATCTTAATTATTGTGATTATAAAGAGGACAAAAGAAATTCATTATTTATTTGTATTCTTTATTGCTTTATTCTCTTTTATCTTGTGATAATCTATTCTTTATTTAAATCTCATAAATAGCTTTTTTTGAAGAATTACTTTCTTATCTTTATAGTTATACTTGATCCCTTATTCTTTTTGAATCCGATAAATTTTTTAAAGAAGGTCCTCTCAATTCGTCAGTGCAAAGTTCTTTAATTTTATCATAGATAAGATCTTTTGGTGAATACATATTTTTCATAAACAAAGTATTTTTATTCTCATCTTTTTGAATTTCTTTTTTATTTTAATTATAATCAGTTTTATAGATATTTTGAAAAATGTTCCTAAAATCGTATTTCTTTACTTAAAAAAAGTTCATATCCTTTTGATATTTTTTGATTAAAACTTACATAATTTTAATACAGTATAATATTTTATTTTAATAATATTCCCTTTTATCTATACTAACGCTCCAAAATATTGGTAAAGGATGAGAAACATTAGTATTACCAATTATCTCCATTTAAGGATATTTCCAAGCTTTAATAAATCCATCAACTCCGCATGTAAATAACAATTTTTAGTTTCCATCTAAAATTTTCATGCAAGTAATTTATTCTTTATGAGCTTTATATTTTTTATAACTTTATATTTAACTATTTTTTCTTAACTCATCACAAACATTTAGATGAATAATTAAACTAGTTTTTATATTTTAGTGTTGGTTTATAGACTAAGGAATATAGCCTATATTTTTGCATTATTCTTATTTTGTCCTTTTTCTAGATTATCTTAAAATTGCCTTACCAAAATTGTCGTTAGAATAATCTTTTAATCTTTATGAAGACAAATCTGAATGAATTTATTAAAAACTATCTCTATTATGGTTAGTATAATCATTTTAAAATTTATTATCTTATTAACTATTTCTTGGTATATTAATTTTTTTAACATATGTTTCATTAGAAATTTTAAATGTGCGAATCATTTAATTTTCTTCATAAATTTCGTATGCCTATCTTAATGCATTATAATTTTTTTGAACTTTTTAACAATGAGGAACTATATTTCTTTTTATTGCAAATTGACTATCTAAAATAACTATTTTTCCATTATTTAATCCCAAAAGTATTTTATTATAACATCTTTCAAAAATGATTTTATAAGCAAAATATTTTAATTTAAAATATTCTACGACTTTAATCTAGATTTATTCTTCAACATTAGTATTAAATTCTATTATAAATATATCTCCATTTAAAGTTGACAATATAATACTCTAATAATTTATATATATATATAATATGTATAAATTTATATATATATATATATATATATATATATATATATATATACTTATATTATTCTTTATTTTTTATTTTTTTAATTATATTTTAATAATTAAATTATAAATAATGATAAATTAATTATAATTAATAATTTTTTTATTTTTGTTGATTTAGTTATAAAATAACTTCTAAAAAATCTTTATATAATTTATAATTTCATATTTATTTATTTTTTAGTTATAATTATTATTTTTATTTATTATTCATTTAATATTCAATCAACAATATACAAGCCGGTTTATTTTATTTTTTCAATTTTTTTATTTTAACCTAAAAATTAAATAATCCGGCATATCCATTATTTTATTTTTTTATTTTTTTAAAATAATTGTAGCAAAATATTAAATAAATATATAAAGTAATATTTTATATATATATTAAAAAGTAAAATAAAAATACCTCATATCCATCCATAAACTTAATGCATGTTGTGTCATCTTCTATTTATAATACTGTCATAATTTTACAATATTCGTAATTAAAAAATAGTATTTAATTTTAAGTATCACAAATAATTAAAATATTATGATAAACTGATTATTCAATTATTTTTATATTTCTTTTAAGATTTATTTTTCTTAAAATTTCCATTGAAATTTCTTTGTGGATAGTAATAACTCCATTAGAAGTTCCCATAGTAATTAGCCCATTAAAATTATCAACTTTAATAGCAAAAATAATATCGAAATATTCTCTATTTTTAAAAGGTTATTTAATCTATATTTCTTCATAATTTTCTCCCTTATAAAGTTTTATTTCTCCTTTGGAAGCTAAAATAATTTTTTTTCCGAGACAAAGATTAAAGCTTTCAATAAAATCATTTTTCGATTATATTACATAATTAGCTTTTCCATCTAATAAATTATAAACCCTTAAGTCTTTATTCGTACATACATAAAGTTTATTATCATTTATATTTCCTTATAAATTAATACAATATAAATCTTGCATTTATTTATTATTTTTTTCTATATTTTCTTCAAATTTAAACATTATTATTTTAGAAGTTACCAAGCATAATCTATTTTTCATAATATGCATTTATTTTATAGAATTTCTTAATTCAGTATTTAAATTTTAAATACAAGTTTATGTCCTTATATCCCATATTTTTATTAAAAAAAGGTCATCAGCTGAAATTACCATAGGTGTATTCTCTACACAAACAATTGCAGTTATTATAGTTTGATGTTTTTTCAAATTGCCTATTAGATTAAAGTCATTAAATTATTCGGTTATATTATAAATGCTTATATAATTATCATATCCAGCAGTTAAAATAGTTTAATATTATTTAAAAAATGCTATTGAATGTATTTTATTCTATTATCCTTATAGTTATTATATTTTTTTCTTTTATATTAAATCTAATAATACAATAGTATTTTCCTATATTAAAATTACTGCTTTTTATAAGTATTAAACTTCACAAACATCAATTATGGCTTTACTAAAAGAAATGCTATGCGTATATTTTTCGTTTTCTAAATCCCAGAAATATATATTATTTAGTTTATCACATGTAATCCATTAATTAATTGTTTCAACATACCTAAAAAATTCATTTAAATAAAATAAATATAATAAATATTTTTTTTTAATTTAATATTACCATATTTTATATTATTCTTCTATTTATCCTACTTAGAATACTTTTTCGAATTAAAAATTATCTCTTGCTTCCCAAAATGCTAAAAATCCATCTTTAAAGCAAGATCCTATTCTTTATTATTTTTAAGACCAGAAAAAATCTAAACAGGCTTATCCTTTAATCTGATATTAAATTATAAAAAAAATAAAAAAAAATTAATATATATTACAAACTAAGATTGTATTTTTAATTTCTTAATATTTTTACAATCATTATTATAAAAAAGAAAAATATCTGAATAACTATCTAAAGTAATTATTTAATCTTATTCTTCTATATATCGAGATTAGATGATTTAATTTTTGTTATGATGAACAGAATCCATATGTACTTTTTCTTTAGAAATTCTTTTTAATTTGGAATCATTTTCTTATAAAATAATAGGTGCTTAAAAATCTATATCCTGAAATGTTTTCTCTTATATATTTAGATTGAATTTATTTTCTAAAGGTAATAATTTACTTTCTATTTCCCTTTATTTTTTAATATTAAATTAGCAAATAAAATTGGAGATATCTTTAAATGTAAGTTTTTATTTATTTTATTCAAACTGACATACAGCTTTAAAAAAGTCACATAAGGAAATTGATATATATATTGCGTCATTATAATTTCCTATTGTATGATCTACTATTTTATCAACCATCAAATAGACAAAATCAACTATATCTAAAGAATTTTAATTTGATAATAATTCTTTTATTTCTTTAAAGTTTTATATTATATAATTTTATATGTAATTAATATTATATTGTTCAAGGTAAAGTATTCCTTGATCGTTTTTTTATACTAATATATTATTTATTATTTCTTAAATTTATTCTTCTGAAAAAATCTGCAGCATTTTTTTTATTTTCTAAGAAATAAATTGATGAATATTTTATGATAATAAAATAACGAATTTTTAAAAAAAATTTCTTTTTTTATTAAAATAAAAAAAATAAAAATATATTAAATTTTTTATTTAATATTTTAGTAAGTAATAATTTTTTTTTTTTTTTTTTTTAATATAATCGTATATATATATATATATATATATATGTATATATATATATAGTATTCTTCATTTTCTCATAGTACCTTTATGTTTTACAAATGCTTCTGTATATGTATTTACATCGTTAACTTTATTATTAAACTAAGTATTTCTATTATTTATATCTTTTTTCATTTATTCACTGAAATCTAAATTAAAAAATATTTTACATTAGTATTAAAATAAAAAAAATTAATTACTATGAACTATACCATAGACAGATTTTTTATTTTCTGTTTCGATTCCATCAAACATTAATTTTATATGGTCCATTTAAAAGTATTTTTTTCTTAAGTTATCTTCATTAACTTTTTATTCTATTTATTCTATATATATAAAATATAAAAATTTTGTATTTTTTTCAATTTAAATAAAAAATAATTTAACTTTTAAACAGATCACTTTACAAAGGATTATTTTTTTAATTTTTAATTTTTTCGAAATTTTCTTAAACATATAAATTTGATTCTTTGTATGTTGGAAATATTTTATGAGTATCTTAATATCCTTATGATATTTTCGCTCCTACGCCATTTATATTAGTGCCATCATTATAAGGTAAAACTAATTATTAAGTTCTTCCCTTTAAAGTTGCTTATTATCTTATTTATTATCTTGCATATTCTGGTTCTAATCCTTCACGGTCTATTAATTCATCTTCATGTTAATTCCATTCATCTGCTCTTTCTTAAAGTATTTGAATTTTTATTTATTTTTATATAAAATTCATTATAAATAGTTTTATTATTAATTTATTTTTTATTTTATTTTGTTATTATTAATTAATTATTAATTAAAATAACTTAGTTTAAGATTTTAATCTTAAAATAAATACTATAATAGCTCATTATGTTATTATGTAATTAATTTAATTATTAACATTTTATATAAATATATATTATTTATATAAAAAAGTCAAAAATATATAAATTATTAATAAATAATATTTTTATTTAATATAAATTAATTGATATTATATATAAATATAAATATTAAAAGAAAATATTAAATATATTATAAATCAAAATAAAATAAAATAAAAATGTAGACTAATTCGCCTGATCATAAAAGGGCAATATAAATATTCATAACAGACTCTTTATTAATAGTAGGATAATTTAATTTAATTATTTAAAAAATAAAAAATTCCATAAAAAATAGATAAGAAATAAATAATTAAAATAAAATGATTCAATTAAGATGATTATAGACCGTAATACAAGCTAAATATAATTTTAGAGTAAAATAAAAAAAAAAGAATTTTTTAAAAAGTCTATTTTTTGTTTTGTTTAAATAATAAAAATAAAAACTTTATAATTATAAAAATAAAAAAAAGAATTAGAATAACATACTGAAAAAATAGACAAAGAAATAGTTGCAGATGGAATAATTGGAATTATAAGCATTCTAAATTATTAGTTTTTAATAATAATTTCGAAAAAAATACTAGTCGCTACTTTATAAAAAAAACATAATATTTATTAAATATAATAAATAGAATTTGTTTCTTTGACAAAATTTTAAAAAAACGATGAATACCCAAAAGAAGTTCAAAAATATTTAGAAGGAATACATCAAGTTTTTTTTTTTATTATTTTTATTTTTATAGAAAAATAAATAAAATAAAATAAAGATTTTTAAAAAAAGACATTATTTTTCACCAACCTATCCTTTGAGCCTCTGCCGTAAAAAAATAGTTGAAAAAGAATAATAAAATGATATTTTTTGTTGGAATTAGAATATATAAAAACAATTATTTTAATAAAATACATCGAATCCAGATTAAAATTAATGCTGGTCAGTATAAATTATTTAAGGTTATGTAGGTTAATTCATCTAGGCTTTAAAAAACAAACAAAACTTATCAATAACATTAATATGTAGACGTTCATTTAAACGTGGTGGTACGAGATACATACATAGAGGTGCAGATTCAAATGGGTTTGTAGCAAATTATTGCGAAAATGAACTATTAGTTGAATACAAAGACTAAATGATAAGTTACTTATCCATAAGGGGAAGTGTTCCTCTTTTTTGGGAACAAAAAGGGTTTTAAGCGTAACTTAGAATAACTCGAGGTGAAGAATTAAATACTGAAGTATGTAAAAAACATTTTGATTATATAAGAAAATCTTATGGGAATTGTGGAAATACAGTTGAAGTGGTAAATTTGATGTTGTTAGGGGATAAATAGGAATAAATTCTATCTGAAAAATTCGAGAGTAATTTAAATGGTACTGAAGGAATAGAATACGTGCATTTTGATTTTCATAAAAGGGCTGATGATTTAGATGAATATGTATATGATTTTTGTAAAAAAAAATAAGAATTCGGATTTTTAGTTGAAAACAATAATAACGAAGAAATAATTGAAGAATAAAAAGGGATTTATAGAATTAATTGCAAAGATTGTTTAGATAGAACTAATTCTTTTATGATGAGGGTCTGTTTTTGGACTCTTATGGATATTATTAAAAATTTAAATGTGAGCTTTTTAGATGAGAGTGAATTTTAAACACTTATGTCTGGTTTGTAGGTAAAAGGGCTTTTTGATAAAGGATAAAATTCCAGTTTTGTGAATTAATTTAAGTAGTTATGGATTGAAAATGGAAATAATATTTCTAAATTGTATGCTGGAACGGATTCTACGACTAAAAATGCATCAAAAGGACTTAAATTTAAAATGGATTGTTATTTAATTGGGATTAAAAGGTTTGTTAATGGAAATATTAAAGACTCTTTTAAAATGAAGTGTCTGAATTATATTATGGGATAGAATTAAGAATAATAAATTTATGGTATAAATATTTTATTTTACTTATTTATATATTTAATTTTATTATAGATTATTGTTTACCTGATGATGTTAATTAATAATTAATAAAAAAAAAAAATGAATATATTAAATAAGTTAAATTAAATATTTAAATAATTACTTGGAACGTAATGAATCTTAATTCAGATAAATAAATTATACTAGATAAGTTTTTTGATACAAAAGGATAGAATAATCCTGATATAATAGTCATAGGTTTATAAGAAATTGTAAAATAGAAAAAATTTAAAATATAGAATATTTTTTAAACCAATCATGATATTAATTCAGTATAATAATGGACATAAATAGTTACATATAATTTAAAAAACTAATTAAATGATAATTATATACTAGTTGATTCACATGATATGGTAGGAAACTTATTACTTATTTATGCAAAAGACATGAAAATCAATTAAATAAAAAATATAGAACATGATTCTATAAAATGTGGTTTTGCAAAAAAAGTTGGAAATGTAGGTATAAAAATAAAAAAAATAGTATAATCATAAAATTACAAAATTAAAATAAATGAATATTTGTTTTAATTATATTAAATAATATTAAAAAGAAAAATATAAAATTAAAAAAAAAGATTTAATATTATAATTAGCAATTAAGCTAATATAAAAAAATATGAATATAAATATATATATATATATAAATAAATTATATATATATATATTTATTTTATTTATATATTTTTTTGATTTTCTAAAAAATTTATATTTATTTTTCTTATAGGAGGTACTGTTTGTAGATTTGAAATAGATGATGTTAAAATATGCTTTGTTAATTGTTTTTTAACTTCTGGAAGAAATAAAAAGAAAGTAGAAGAAAGATTCGAAATTTTAAATTAAATACATAATACTGCTTTTTAAAAAGATGGAATGGGAAAAGTTAAAGGAAATTTAATTAATACTGCTGATATAATTTTTGTTTTTGGAGATCTCAACTTTAGGGTCGATATGGAATATAAAGTTACTTAAGAAATTATTTAAAGCTATCAATATCTCGTTTTGAAATAGTAAATTGATGAATCATATAATATGATTAAGCAATTACTTAAAAAAGATCAATTTTCATAAAATTATAAAAACGATTCTATCATGAAGGATTATTTTGAATAATAAATCAACTTTCCTCCTAATTTTAATGATTCTTCTAAAAAAAATAGAACATCTTCATGGTAAACATTATTATTTTTATTTTTATATTTTGTTTTATTTAATTTTATTTACTTTTATTAATTAATATTAAATAAAATTTTTTAATCGAATTCACATCGATTATATTTTTAAGGTTTCATATTTAAAATAAAAATTATATTAATTTAATTATTAAATAAATAAATTATTTTTTTTCTTTATTTTCAATATAATACATTTACTAATCTATATAATAATAAAATAAATTCTTTAAAAAAAATTGACTTTTTTTATTTTTTTAATTTTAGGAGAGGAAGAATACTTATTAAGACAAAAGAAGAAAATAATTGCTTTGAATAACTTTTTTATTGTTCAAATTATACCAATTAATTTTCTGATCATTCGTATATTTTTTTTTATAAATTATCATGATATATTTATTTAATTAAAATAAAGGTCAGTTTCTGGATATTTTGTTACATAAACAGAAATATTAAATGAAGAAAAACGTCAATAAATAATTGAAGAAATTTTCAAAGAAAAAAACATTTAAATAAGTGATAATATAGCATTCGAGGACACAATCGTATGAAAGAAAATAATAAATAAAATATTAATTAATTATTTAATATATTTTATAAAATTCTGAAATATATTTATTTTTTAATACAGTTTTTATCTTAGATTTAAAACTAAAATTGGCTTCTTTTTACTATTTATTTTTTTAATAAAAATATAAAAGTAGATTAATTAAAAATAAAATACTTTTATATATGTAGAAACGCAAATTATTATTTTTTTATATTTAAATTTTTCCGTAAATAAAAAAAAATAAAAATTCAATAAAAAAAAAACAAATATAATTAAAACATAAATACATAAAATGGAAAAAAAACTAAAAATAGACGATTTCGAAATGAAAGCTGTTTTAGGTAAAGGAGCATATGCCAAGGTTGTTTTAGTAAAAAAGAAGGATAACTAGAAGTTATATGCATTGAAAATATTAAAAAAAGAAATGGTAGAAAATAGAAAGCAAGAAAAGCATGTAATGACTGAAAGAAATCTATTAATAAATTTGAATCATCCGTTTATTATAAAAATGGAATATTCATTTTAAAGTGAAGCAAAGCTATATTTTTGTCTTGAATACTGTCCAGGTGGGGAATTATTTAATTTATTGTAAAAACGTGAATAATTTAATGAAGATCAAACAAGATTTTATGTTAGTTAAATTGTCTTGGCATTAGAATTTATTCACAAAAATAATGTCATGTACCGTGATTTGAAACCTGAAAATGTTCTTATAGATAAATAAGGATATATCAGAATTACAGATTTTGGTCTTTCTAGAGATAATATAAAAGGATATAACGATGCAAAAACAGTTTGTGGAACTCCTGAGTATTTAGCACCGGAAATCATTCTAAAATAGGGATATGGAAAAGCTGTAGATTGGTGGACACTTGGGTGCTTGATTTATGAATTATTAACTGGTCTTCCACCTTTTTATAATGATAATAATAATGACATGCTTTTTGAAAAAATTATGAACGAAAATTTTATTTTTAATAAATAATGGACAAAGTAATGTTAAAATTTATTATAAGGTTTGCTTTAAAAAAATCCTAAATAAAGGCTTGGATATAATGGGTCTTAAGAAATTAAAGAGCATCCCTGGTTTAATAATCTAGATTGGGAAGTTTTATTAAAAAAATAATATAAACCGCCTTTTATTCCTTAGTTGAAGAGTGAAACTTCACTTTGTCATTTTGATGAAGAATTTATTTAAATGCCTATTAATTCACATAATTAAGCTGAATCTTTGTAAGGAAAACATAAAGAATTTGAAGGATTTACCTATTCCACTTAAAAAATATGATAATAAAATATTAAAAAAAAAAAACTTCATTTAAATTTATATATCATTTTATAAATATATAATATATAATTTTATTTCTATACTTATAATAAAAATAAATAATATTTCAATTTAAAATTTTTCTTTTTTTAAAAAATTTTCAAGGTTCTAATACTTTTATTAAATAAAATATTTCTTTATCTCTCCAATAAGAATATGAATTATCAAAAACTATTCTATAATAGCCTGGTAAATTAACCAATGAAAATCCCTTATATAAAATAAATAGTTTAGTAACATTATTTTTATTAAAAAAATTTATTTTTTTACAATAACTGGTTATTTATGAGATTCTGATGTTTATAATCTTACTATAGTCTATATTGATTTTTCTTTATCGTATTAATCTGGTTTAATTTCACTATTTAATAAATCAAGTCTAAATAATCCGAATTTTATATCATAATCTATAGATTTAAAGCTCCAATAGATAATACTATCGGGTTTTTCAATCTAAAAAAAAATTAAAATAAATTTTTATTATTAATGTTTAAAAAAATAATAATAAATACAAGAATATTATATAAGAAAAATTATCCAGCTTATATTTTTTTGTATAAAGGATAATTAATTTATAAATTGAGATTTCTGAATTTATATTAAACGTCAACATCATATGAATAGCTTAAAGCTTTTACACTATAATACTATACATCGAAAAATAATAAAAAGAAAAATAAATAACAAAAAAGTTAAAAATTACTTTACTCTATTTTAATGCATTTATATAAGAACTTTTTTACAATCTTTAAACTAAACTTTAATCACTATTTTAATCTTATAAAATTTTATATAAGAAAATTGTAGGTTCTTTTAATTAAACAGTATCGTTTGAATATAAACTAATATTAGATAAAACTACATATATAGGTCCTGATAGGAGATTTCTTATTTATTAGTTTTTTTCGAAAATATAATAAAGTCTTCTAATTATCAAAAAACATCTTAAATTTAATTAAACTTAATTTGGGTTAAGCAATATTTCGTTAAGAAAACTCCCCACACTTAAATAAATATGAGGATAGTTTACAAGAATACATTAACAAGTTTTTAATGTGAAATATTTAGTTCCTTAAAATCTCGGAGTATCAAATATTATTTAAAATTCAACTGGAAAAACATATCTATCTATAATATCAAGTATTTAATTATAAAAATGTATTTTTTATTCTTCAGAATCACATTCTATAATTGCTAAATTTGCGAAAATTTCATTCAAATAAGAGCATAAAATTTGATATTATTAATTAACGCTATCACATTTTCCTAAAAGGACAATAATTAATTTTATTGCTTCACTTTTCCCTTACAAATGTTTTATATTTGAAAATTTTAATATGTTTGATATCATTTCTTTTTACTTTTTTAATTTTAAAAAAATAAATAAAAATAAGTTATTTTACATCTTAGGTTGGAAATTATTCTTATTCATCTTTTTCAATTAAAGAGTTTATTTATTAATAAATATTTTAATGTTTTTATTATAAAATGTTAATAAATTTTGCATGAGCGGCTCTAATATTAAAATCCACGTACGTATTTTAAAATTTATCAATAAGAATATAAAATCCATTCAAAATATCAACAATAATCGCATTTTTATCATTTAAAACACAAATTTAGTCAATTACATCATTATTAGTGAATAAAAAACTAAATAAATTTTCCACTTTTAATAATTTTTTCACATTGTGTAATTGTGAAAGGTATATTATTTTGTTAAAAAAAATTGTATCAAACATTTTTATATTGTAATTTATTATATCTTAAAATAATAAATATAATTCATTATATTCAAAATCTAATTATGTCAAATCGTCATTATGAAAAGCATTTTTAATTGCTAATTTTAATATTTGAGAATAATCTTTTTATAATTATTCGTTTCCTTGATTTTCTTCATTATATATTGCTTATAAATCCATTTGGCATTCTTCTGAAATTTGAGGGTTTTATTCAGATTCTTCAGTTTACATAAATATAAATAAATAAATATTAAAAATATCTTTCTAAAAATAAATAAAATATATATATATTTTTTTAAATAATATTTAATAAACATATAAAATAAAATATACAAAAATTTAAAATATATATTTAAGTAAAATTAAACTTTTTTTATTTAATAAATTAAAAAAGAAATATCATAAAAATAAAATAAATATATAAATCTAATTGAATTTTAATTTTTTTTAATTACTATAAAGAAAAAAAAATGTATAATAATTTTATTAGTTTTTCTAAATAATTAATAATAAAAAATTTATATATAATTATTTAAAAAAATAATCATATTTTATCTATAACAGTTTTATATGCTAGATTTAAGTTACTTTTTAATAATTTTAAATATGTAAGATCTTCATATAAATTTTTATAAACATTTTTATTTTCATTACATTAATTAAATCCGCAAATATTTAACAATTCAATACCGCTTTTATAATTAAAAAGACATTTTAATTTATCATTATTAAAATTAATTTATTTATATTTTTCATCATTTGGAAATTCTATTAAATTATTTAATAATCTTTCTAAAAATATTTTACTTTTTACAAGTAATTCGAAAGTTTTTTTTTATTCATTGTATAAGTTTTCTAATTTGATTTACATTTATTCGCAAATAGTTTTTGTTTCTTTGTTTTCTTCTATGTTTTCTTTATTTTTTTATTCAACTTAATTTATTTTCTAGGATAATTATCTTTTCAAGCTATTAAAATTTTCTTAATCAATTTTTTATTAAAAATTAATAAGAATATCATCATTATGAATCATTAGGCTTTCATATAAAAATTTTTAAATTATTTTAAGACAGTTCAATAAATGCTCTTATAAATAAATAATAAGGATATTTTTGCTATTTTAGAATGAATTTTTAAGAATATTAATAATTTATTTTTGAGTTTCTTTATTTTTTTCATTTTAAATATCAAAATAAATTCCTTTTCTATCATTATTTGATTTTGAAAAGAAATGTATTATATTACTAATATTAAAATGAGCTTTGCATTCTTAACTAATTAAATTTTAATTTTTACTAATATATAATTTAAAGGTTTTACTTTATAAATCGTGCTTATTATTATTTATTAATATATCTTGGTTATCATATAAAAGTACTGGCAAATTAATTTTTTCCAAAATAGATTCATTTGCAAAAAACTTATATTCGTTTCGTAAAAAATTATCATCTTCTAAAATGCATATATTCTTTGGTTTTATATTGTTTTTGCGAAAAATTTGAATTAGGCTTTCTGACACTTATGATTATTTTATATGGATTACTATAATTTTAAAATCAAATATTATTTTTAATTCTTATTCTTTTAATTATATTAAATTATCTACATTCTATGCGTATACGTATTATATAGATTTATATAAAAATTCAAATGGAGATGATTATAAATTATTTTTGAGTACTTAATGATTAGTTAAAAGTGTATACATATATGATATATTTATTTTGAAAACTATAAAATCTTGGATTTAATTTAAAAGCTTTTTTTCTTTTATTCCGTTACATGATTGCATGTATTTTTTAGATTTCTCATTTTATAATTATTCTTGTTTAGAAATACATGATATACATTTTCCCATTTATTCTTTGGTAAGCTTAAATAGGTTAATTAATTTATTAAAATCTATTTATTTTTAATAAAAAATAATTATACCTATTATTTTTTTATAAAAAAATATATGTATATTTATTTATATTATTATTATTATAATCAACTTTTATTATTACATAAAAAACAAGTATTTAAACATATTTTTATTTGTTTATTTTTTGTTTATTAAGATTTTTTATTCTTAATCTTAAATTAACAAAAATGACAAGAGAACTTATTACAATATAAGTAGGATAATGTGGAAATTAAATAGGAACAAAATTTTGGGAATTAGCTTTAAAAGAACATGCAAAATTTAATAAACAAAATATATATGATGATGCACTTTCAACTTTTTTTAGAAATTTAAAAAAAAACAAAGAACTTTAACCAGGATCAGAAATTCACAATTTAAAAGCAAGAGTAATTAAATAAAAAAATAAAAAAATTATTTAATAAAAGGCGATTGTGATTGATATGGAAGAAAGAGTTATAAATGAAATAATAAAAAGCGGTTTAAAATAAATAAAATAATAAAATAAATATAATAATTTTGTGAAGATATAGGAGAATTATTTGATTAAAGACAAGTTATAAATGATGTAGGAGGAGCAGGAAACAATTGGTATTAAAAAAAAATAAATAAATAAATAAATAAATAAATAAATAAATAAATAAATAAATAAATAAATAAATAAATATGTATATGTATATGTATATGTATATATATTTTTTTTTATATATATATTTATATTATATTGTATTATTCAATTTACTTTTATGTTACCTTTTTATTATATTTATTATATAAAAACTAATTTTTTTTTTTCTAATTATATTTATTTAAAAAATTAAGAAAAACTAATTTTAAATATTTTAATATATATACATATATATTCATATATTTAATTTATTTATTTTAATTATTTTATTTATACTTATACATATTAAGGGCTCATGGTTATTTCTTTTATGGATAAAAATATAAAAATGATATTTTAGACAAAGTAATTTTTTATTTTTATATTTAAATATTTAAATATATATATCGTCTTATATAAACATTTTATATCTTAAAATATATACACAAAAGATATCAAAGGCTGTAGAATAATGTGATTCTTTATAATGTTTTTTTTTAATGCATTCATTAGGTGGTGGTACAGGTAGCGGTTTAGGAACTTTTCTTTTAAAATGTAAAATTTTTTTAAAAATAATTTATTTTTTTATTTTTTAATAAAGTATTAAAAGACGAATTTCCTGATGTATATAGATTTACTGCTTCTGTATTTCCATAAAAAGATGATGATGTTGTAACATCTCCATATAATAGGTTTTTTTTAAAAAAAATAATATTTTTTAATTTTAAAAATAAAAAAGTTTATTTTCTTTATATGAACTTTCTTAACATGCAGATTGTGTATTTCCGATAGATAATTAAGCTTTATTGAACATATGTTAATAGACAGAAAAAGACAACAAAGAGAAAAAAGTACTTGGTGAAAAAAAATAAAAACCATTTGATAAGATGAATAATATAGTAGCAAATCTATTGAGTAATGTTACATGGTAAATAAATTATAAAAAAGATATATATTTTTAAACAAATTTAGCTCAATGAGATTTGAAGGTATTCTGAATGTAGATTTAAATGAAATTACAATGAATCTTGTGCCTTATCCTGATTTACATTTTTTAGTATCTAGCATGGCGCCTCTATATTCTGTTTAATAATAAAATATGTAACCTAAAAAGCTTGATTAGATGTTCAAAGATATATATCATCCAGATTATTAACTTATTAATGTAAATCCTTATATAAATAAATATTTGGCTGTTGGTTTAATTGTTAGAGGATCAGTTTCTTTTTCAGATGTAAATAGAAATATTAAACTAATGAGAAAAAATTTAGATATGATATATTGGAATTAAGAAGGTTTTAAATATGGAATTTGTAATGCACCTCCTGTTGATTAAGTATTTTAAAATAATATTTAATTATATTTTTTATTTCTTTCATTTTAGCCTTATTCAGTTCTATGTATGGCAAATAATACTTCGATACGAGAAACCTTTTAAGAAATTTTGGAAAGATTCAATAAACTTTATAGAAAAAAAGTAATTAATAAATCAATATATATTTTATTGAAGAAATTAAATGTTAAATAATTATTAGGTATATATTCATCACTATACTTAATATATGGATGCTTAATTATTCAATGAAGCTTCTGAAGGTATTAATAATTTAATTTAAAGATATGAATAACTACATTCAGTAGAAAAGCCCAATTTTACTTAAAAATTAAAACCTCTAATATGAATATTTATAATTAATTTCTTTATTTCTTAATTAATAATTATTTTTTAAATAAAAAATATATATGATATTTGTATTTTTTAATATTAATTTCAATTTAATTTAATTTTTTTTTTTAAAAAAATATAACTTTTTAAATAACAAAAAAAATGTTTATAAAAGAAGCTTATTAAAGAAGATTATAAAAAGAAGTATTCTATATATAAATTTATATTAGAAAAAAATTATAATAATCATGAATATTAATCTAATTAACGGAAACTAAAAAAACAAATATTTTTTAACAATATATCATAAATTATAGTTTTTTTTTAAATATATTTTTATCCTAATATTTTTATTAAAAATAGGAGTAATAGTAGAATGAAGGAATTTAACAAGAAAAACATAAAATGCATAAAATAGGTAGTATCAAAAATAATAAAGTCAACTTTGATAGAGATGAATAGTTTTTTGCATAAGAAGACATTCCTATATAAGCTATAGAGAAAAAAATAAAAATAAAAGAATTTATTAATCCCGATTTACTAAACTTAAGAAAAAAAGAATGGAATACATCAGTAGCAGTACCCAAAAATCCGTTATTAGAGGAAACTCATGAAAGAAAGTTAATAAAAGTAAAAAAATAACAAATAAAGGAAAATATTAAATATAATATATTTAATAAAATAAATAGATTAAGTTAGGTCTTTTTGATAGACCGATTCCTAAATTAAAAGACAAATATATAGAAATCGGTACTGATTCAAGAAATGATTATCTTGGATGGAATGTGAGTACTGAGTAAGATAAAAATTTTAGACTGTAAAAATTAGATGAATTGTAAAACATTAAACTAATTCTTTTTATTTAATTTTTTATCTAAAAAAGTACTTAAAAAGCAAAAGATAAAAATAAAGAAAAAGAAAATCTTCATTTAAAGGAATATAGAAATCCTAATTAATAATAAAATGATATAGTTGATCATTTACGAGAAACAAAAAAGAATGAAAGAGAATTTAGAAACTAAATAAGAAAAGAGTAATTTTTTAAAATTTTTAAATGTACATATGTAAATTAGGTATATTTTCTAAAATCCAGGAGCAAGTTAAGAAAAAGTAGATGGTGCTGTATTTAGGTTAACATATGAAGCAAAATTAAGAAAGAATTAAATAAACTAAGATACTTCAGAAAACTTAAATGCCAGTTTAAGTAAAACACACTGTGAAAGGCATCATAAAGATTTCCACACAGGAATTTATTCTGCAACGAAGTATAAAATTGATTATTTTGGACATTTAAAATAAAAGAAGATTTGGCCTTGCTGTAATAAAATTGAAGCATAACCATATTAACCTACATTATATAAACCTGATGTTGAGAAGAATATAAAAAGGTACCATACAGGAGTGTATTAAGAGTTTACTATAGGAAAAGATAAAGAAGGAAATCCAAAAGTGAAATAATGTTGGTCTTGTTGTATGAATACAAATAAGGAAAATGAAGGATGTAATAAATATATGATAGATAGAAAAAAATGGAGTTATGTTTCTTATGTTTCATGAAAAAAAAAAAAAAATTATAATTATAATTATAATATTTTTTTTTAATTTAAATATATATATATATTTTTTAAAAAAATTTAAATAATTTATAAAAAAAATGAATTATTAAATTTAAAATGAAGATGTAATTTAAAAAATTTAAAGTATTGAAAAACGAATGGATTTTATTTAAAATAATGTTAATAGAGTTTGTCATTAATAAGATGCGCTTTATCCTTTACTTTAGTTGATGGATTTTCTTCCTTTTATCTAAAAAAGTGAAAATAACATAAAGGTAATTAACAAAAAAACACTTGAATTAGAAAAGAAAATAAAAGATATAGAAATTAATGAAGAGAAAAATTAACACTAATACATTTTTAATAATATTGACAGGAATTTTAAAAGTGTAGAAAAATAGCTATAATAAATAAAAAAAGATGTAGAAGTCTTTTAAAATAATAATAATATATAAGAGGGTAGAACAATGGATATTATAGACTAGAAATTATAAAAAAATATGAATGATATATAAAAACTTCTTGCAGAATTTAAAAATGAAATAAATTTTAATTTGAGAAAATAATAAATATTTTCAGAAAATAATGCCTCAATTACCACTGAAATTAATGAGATTGGAAAAGGAAATCAATTTAAAATATTAGAAAATGATATTACTAACATTTATAGAGAAATCGGTATTTTGAGGTGTGAAGTTGACATGATTTTTGATAAATAAAGAACTGAATTTATTGATGAATAAATGAACTTGATTAGCTTAGAAAAAGAAACAGATAAATAATATTTAAGTGATTGTATTTTATTAAATGTTCTTATATAGGAAGTTGAAATTTTCGATAGTCACAATTAAAGTCGATTAATGAAAGAAATAAAAATAACTTAAGAAAAATTAGAATAAATACTTTTAACTTGTCAAGAAAATTAAAAAAATGGGGAAATTATGTAAGAAATAAAATTTTTAGATGATAGGATATTTAATTTAAAATAATAATTTCATGGAACTAAAAAGAAATATTTATGTGAGAGTAAAAAGATAGAAAATATATTGAATATAATTGATAATAATTAAATTGGTTTTGTAAATCCTTCTCTTTAATAAGTTTGTAGAAAAGATTTGTTATAAATTAAAGTTAATAAAATGAATGAGAAAATTACTTCTAATATATAAATACTAGATGAAAAAATTAAGAATATTAATAGTTTATTTTTGTAAGTTAAATTATAAAATTTTTGAATTTTATTTTAAAAAAATTATTACCTTATTTATTATTTTAGTAGTTTTTATATATTTTTTTTCTTAAGTATTTTTTTAATTAATATTTATTTGCTTTTTAATATTTTTTTGGTAGATGCAAAATATTATATTTCTAAAAAAAAAATAAAAAAATCCAAGTATAAATAATAGAAAAATATATAAAATGTCTGAATTAGATCTAATAATATAAACACTTAGGAAATGTGAAATAGTATCAGAAAATGACGTAAAAAACTTGTGCAATAAAGCAAGGGAAATTCTAATAGAAGAATCAAATGTATAGCGAGTAGACGCTCCTGTCACGGTATATTTTCAACATTAAATAAAAAAAGATCATATTTATTAAAAAATACAAAAAGATATGTGGAGACATACATGGATAATTTTATGATTTAGTAGAATTATTTAATGTAGGAGGGGAGTGCCCAGACACTAATTATTTATTTTTGGGGGATTTTGTAGATCGTGGTTTTCATTCTGTGGAGACATTTCTTTTATTATTAGCATTAAAAGTTCGTTACCCTGATAGAATAACTCTAATAAGAGGCAATCATGAATCCCGCCAAATAACTTAGGTATATGGTTTTTATGATGAATGTTTAAGAAAATTTGGATCCTTAAATGTTTGGAGATATTGTACTGAATTATTTGATTATTTATCATTAGGTGCGATTATTGAAAATAAAATATTTTGCGTTCATGGAGGATTATCGCCTTGTATAAAAGTTTTAGATGAGGTTTTTTTTCATTATAAAATACGATAATAAAGCAAATTTATTAAAAAAATAGATTATAGCTATCGATAGAAAATAAGAAGTACCACATGATGGTGCTATGTGTGATCTTATGTGGAGTGATCCTGATGGTAATAATATATAATATATGTATTTTTTTTAATTAATTATATTCAGAAATCGAAGGATGGGCTGTAAGTCCTCGTGGTGCCGGTTATTTATTCGGAGGAGATGTAGTAGATGAATTTAATAAGGCAAATAATATAGAACTTATTTGTAGAGCACATTAACTTGTAATGGAAGGATATAGAAATATGTTTAATGATTAACTTTCTACTGTTTGGTCTGCTCCAAATTATTGTTATAGATGTGGAAATATTGCTGCTATTTTATAATTGGATGAAAATTTGGAAAAAAAATTCAAAACTTTCGAAGCTGCTTCATAAGTAGTTTTTATTTTTATTTTATTTTTGAAAAAAAAAAATTATTAATTTCTTTTTATTAAATATATATTTTTTAGGATAATAGAGGACCTCCAGTTAAAAAAACAGTTCCTGAGTATTTTTTATGAAAAAAATAAAAATAAAGAAAAAATAAAGATATATATAAACTTTTTTAAACTAAAATATATAAATTTGTATATAAATAAAAAAATTTATTTATATTTTTGTGTTTTTCTTATTATTTATATAATATAATCCTTACATACTTTTTATTAAATATAATTAATTTTAAAGTATAAATAATATATTTTTTACTATCAATTTATAAAATCTTAATTTTTAAATTTGTTTTTGCTTATAAATTAATTTGTCCTTTATAATTCTAATTCAACATATAGTTAATTATAGCTTTAAATTTCATTATTTTCCTCTTTCATGTATCTTTATTAGCTTTCTGGTGAATTTTTATAAAAATCATGTTCTTATTCTTAAATATGTATTTATTATTATCCATTCCTGTTTTCTTTATTTAAATTTTCATATTTAATATCGTTTTAGTCTTGCATTTTATTTCTTAAATTAAATTTGAAATTAATAGAATACTTTTAATCCTATTATATTTTGGACCTTAAGTATTCTTCATAAAGAACATTTATAAATTTTTAAAATATTATGTTGTTAAACTAAATATTAGGTGACATTTCGGGATTAATTAAATGTTTAATTTTAGAAAACAAACTCATATCTTAATTCAAATCATTAATTTTTTACAAATATTGTATAAAGATATTATTTTATGAATAATTAGTTTCGTTCAAATTAATTTTGAAAAAAGTTATTTAATTATGTTTTTTTTTAATAGCTTTTATTAAACGATTAGAAAATAAAACTGCTAAAATAGATGCTTTAAATATAATTTTTAGAGAGTTTTATTTTAATGTTTTTTTATTGGAATTTTATAACAAAATAATATTATTGTTATATAATTTATTTTTTTCAATCAAATAATTAAGTCTTTGAGTTTAGTTTATAAATCCTTTTGCTAATATATATGTAAAAAATAGCAAGTCACTAGAGTTTTGTTAAAATTATACTAATGTCTATAAAAAATCAGGATATTAAGAAATATCTTTAATATTGTCTTATTATTATTAAACTTATATGTTAGTTTTGCTAATATTATTTTAATATAACTCATTTTCTTGTTATTTTTCTTAAATTATTTATTTTAAAGTGGTTTCTAAAGCACTATTTTTTTCAACTAGCTATTCGTTTTATTAGGCAATATTTTTTTTTTTCTTTTATTAATGTTTAAAATCTTTTATTAACTTTGACAATAATTATTATAAATATAAGCAATTACTTAATTAAGAAGGTAATTGTGCATTAAAAGTACTTTGTCTTTAATTTATCATATTTATACATGAATCAATAAAATAATTAATTTAAGTATATTTTTATATTTATAATTCTAAATTTTATTTAAGTTATTCTATTTAAGTTTCCAAATTATGTAAATCTTTTTTCATGCTTTCTTATTGTAAAACATTTGAGTCTACATCATCATTAGATGAAATTTATTAATATAAAAATTATATTTTATCTTTTAATTCATTATTTTCTTATTATAAATTTTATAAAATTTCATTTTTTTGTTATATTTCTAAGTCTTTAATCTAAAATAAAGTTATATATTTTAAAAAATAAAAAAATTTACCTATAATTTTTAAAATAATTCTTCTGTTTAAATATTTGTATTTAAGTTATTATTTTAATTTTGTTAGTTTTAAATTTATTCTATTTCTATTTAATATGATTCTATTATTTATTAATGTATTTACTTTAAATTTTTATATTTTTTTATTTTTTTGTCAATAATAGTTTTATATTTTTCTTTTGTATTAACAATTTCATTTTTTAATTCTTCATTTTTATCTAATAGAACTTATTATATTTTATTTTTTTCCTATTCTTTTTAAATATAATAACTTTCTTCAATACTTTTAAGTTCTTAATTATATTTAAACTCTAAAAATTCACATTTGCTAACAATTTCTTTGTTAAATTCTTCTAAATAAGATATTCTTTAACTTTTTTCATTTAATTTACTTTAATATTCCTTATCATACATTAATATTTTTTTTTCAAAAACTTCAATTTGTTATTTATAATTTTTTATAATTTCTTCATTTTCGTGAAGTTAAAATAAAGATTTTTCATTTGTTTATTTTAATTACAAATTTTCTACTGATAATTCTTTTATTTAATTAAAATAATCTTTTACTAAATTCCAACTATTTTCACTACATGTACAATTTCCAGAACAGGCTGCATTTTTTACTTTATTTGACTCTTAATTTTTCTTATATAGGCATTTTTAAGGGGTTATATTAAATTTATTCATATTAAATAATCTCTAAGTTTAATCCATATATTTTCTTTGTATTTAAAAATAAAATTTGTTAAAAAATATAAATAAAATATGCTTTTATTATTAAATGATTTAATATTTGTTAGTTGTAATTTTTATTTTTTTTATAAATAATTTGAAAAGTTATATTAATATTTAAAATATTATTAATTTTTTATTTATTTTTAAATAAAGATTTTATATATTTAATTTTACTAAATAATATATTATTAAAATAAATAATATAAATTTTTATTAATTTAAATTATTTTTATAGCTTTTCTAAAAAAAAGCATTTTCAGAATTTAGTTTATTCACATATATGATCCAATTTTATTGCATGATCTTCTCTAGTTTAAGTTCTGCAATTAATTCCATACCAACACAAACCTCTATTTTAATATTATTAAGGCAACTAATCCTTTATTTTAATCCTAAATTAAAATACAATTTAAAACCATAAACAATCCATAAAACAGTTAACACATACAGCACTTTTATTACTTAATTTAATTTCTATATCATCATTATCATTTGCATATAATTTTTTATTTTTTTATAACTAAAATTATTATTCTTCATTTCATTATTAAGTATATTTAAGTAAATAGCTTTTGTAGTAATTTTTTTAGTAGTCATATGTTAGCTTAAAATTTTACTTTCTACTATATTTCCTCTGAAAAAGCCCTAAGGTAAAAAATCTGGAGGTTAATGATCTTCCAATAATTTTAATAAATTTTCATTTTTAAGTGACCTTCCTCTTCCCTTTTTTATTTTTTCACATTATTATGTATATAAATTGCAATAAAAGCCTTTACAAATTAAACACTTTTAATTTAAATCATCATTATTTCTATTTGGATAGAATTTCTAGCAAGTCAAACATTAAACATGTTATGTATTTTTATTACATTAAAACCCATCATCTTGTCTTACCACATTACATTCTAAACATATTGGATTATTATTAATTTATTATTTTTATTTTTATAAAGGAATAGTCTGTAATAGTTTTGCTTTTTCATCCATTTTTTAATAATATTCGTCTGTATTTTTTTTATTTGGATTTTTTTTCAAAATCTTTTCTATGAGATTATTTATAGTGGGATTTTTTGCATAATTATCATATTTCATCCTACAATTGGGACATTCATCGCTTTTTTATTTCCAATCATATAGACATCCGGCACATAAATTATGTAAACAAGGTTATAAAGTGATACATTAATGTATAATATCCATACAAATAACGCATTCTAATTCTTCAGAAATATGGTCGTCGTCAGTATTATTTTTTAGTTATTTTAATTCATTTGTAATTTTACTATTCTCTATTTTTAGTTCTTCAATCTCTTTCTTAGTTGTCTAATTTTATTAGTTTAATTCTTTAATTATAATACAAATCCTATAGTATCTTTTCATCTACTTTCGTTTTATGTAATAAATATATTACTTCTCCATTTCTATTTTTTAAGATTTCCTTTACCTACTCTTCTACCTAAAATATAAGTACCATTAGTCGATAAGTCGTTTAAATAAACTTCATTTTTATCTTCTTTATAATCTAAAGAACAATGGAAACCGCTCAAACGGGAATCTTAAATGTGAATTATATTATTAGAGTTTCTTCCTATTGTTATATTATTATCAATAAGATCATATGTTTTTAATTTTTAAGAGTTTAAAGGGACTATCTACCCCCATACTTTATTTTATTAATCATCTTCATCTTAACTAATATCTGTTTTTGTTTAATCATTTTCATGTTTTTATTAACTCATTTTTATTTGATGTATTTAAAATAAAATAATTTATTTAAATATTATTATTAATATAAAATTAGTTTTTATATTTATTTTTTGTACAAAAAATTGTCTGTATATTGTAAAAAAAAAACTATATCTTTTCATAATTATTTATAATAAGTATTTATTAACTTATTAAAATAATCTAAGAAAAATGTATTCTGTTAAATATAATATATTTTAAAATATAATAGTTTTTTAAAAAATCATTAAATTGTAAAAATACATTATTATAATTATTATTAGAATCATAATTATAAAATAAAAATTCATTAAAAAAATGAATTAATTAAATAAACTATTATAAATATAATAGTTTAATATATTATTAATTAAACATGTAAATATAATATATTTTTCATTTTTATAATTAAATATATATTTATTTATTAAAATACAATTTATATAAATATTTATAATTTATTTTAAATTATTATTAAGAACAAATTATTTTCAATTAATCAGTTTTCAATTTTAAAAAAAATAAATTTGATTTTTTTCTACTTAATTAATTTTTAAAGTATAGAAATATTTTAAGAAAAAATTTTTAAGTAAATTTCAATCTCATATTTTTAAAAAATTATAAATAAACAATTTTATATTTAACATGTAAAAATTTTCTGAATGAATTATTAGTAATTCCTTTTAAAAAAATTCAAAAAATCGCTTCCTTTTTTAATTTATAAAAATAGTGATTTAGACATTACACCTGATTAAGCAAATACAACAAAATAAAATTAATATAATTTTTAAAATTTTTATTTACAAAAAATAATATTCAAACACTAAGATTATTTTTATATTGTTTAATTTATTTATTTTGATTGTTCCTACTAAGTAAAAAAGTAAAAACAAACGAATTAAATTAGGTAGTAGTTTTTAATAATGATATATATTAATACAATATATATGTTTTTATAAAAAAATTAAAATTATAATGTAATATTTTAAAATACAATAAAAATAAAATTCAAATAATAATCAAAATTAATTTAATATTCTATTAATATCTAATTACAATAGTTTTTATATTTATTAATTGGTTTTTAAATTTCTTAGATATTGTGTATGATAACTTTTAACTTTTAATTTTTAATGACATTTGTGTCTTAGTTATGTAGATATTGATATTTTGTTGCTTTAACTTTAGAAGGATGCTATTATTGATTTACTTTAAAAATTTGATTATAAATTGAAAACAGATTAATAAAATTGAAAGAGAGTTTATAAAAGTGATGAGATAGAGTTGTAATGATTATTAAACTTTTTAATAGTTTAATGTTTAGGTTAAAATATAAAATTAAATAGGTTTTAAAAAAATTAGAGAATTAAGAAGTTAGTTATTATAGTTTTTCATAGATTATAGCTATTGCCTGATTTACTTGTCTTATAAATTTATTAATTTAAATATGTTAAACTAAAAATTTTATTTTTACTTTAGCTTAAAAAGTTAAAATACAATCAATAAGTTTATATGATATGGAATTTTTAAATCAGAAAATGTTTTAAAAATAAATAGAAATCATAAAATTTATTTATTCATAATTTTTATATAATTAAATATAAATATTTTAATTAACTTATATTATGAAGTTTATATTATTATAAAATAATAAGTTAATATATATTTAGGCAAAAATATTATTTATATTTTTATTATTAAAGAAATTTTAAATTTAATTTAATTTATTTCATAAATTTTAAGTATTATTATTTAATTTAAAATGACTTCCTTCTCCTTCGAAATTAGGTTCTTTTTTTTTGTAATTTAAAAATAAATATTAATATTTTTTTTTTTTCAATAAATAAAAATAAATAATTATTTATTTACTTATTGGTAAAAACCAATAAATCCAATTTTTTCCAAAAATTTATAAAAAATTTTCTTTAAATCCTTAATCATATATCTATTAAATAAATTTTAATAATTTTTAAAAAATATTTTTTTTCTATTACATTCATATCTTTCTTCTTTTCACTATATTCAATTGTTGTTTTATTTTTAATAATCAACCTTTTAATTTTTACAAACATAAGATAAGATATTTTATATTATTAATATAACTTTCTTATATATTATTTTCTGTATTTTTTTTTTTTAAATAAAAAAAAAATGACAATTAATCATATTATAATTAAATTTTCTTTCTTGTGTTTTTAAATTATAAAATATCTTTTATAATTTGGTAATATTATAAAAAATAAAATTAAAACTAAAAAATGATTAATAGTCGTAAAAAAAAAAAATATCACAGATAAAAATATTATAAACAAAATAATATATAAAATTACATAGTATGAAATATAGTCAAAAAAATTATAATAACCATAATAACAAGAATAAAATAAAATGTAAAAACAATAGTGAATAATCCAGAATAGTTTAAATTTTAACTTATAATTGAATCTAAAAGCATTGAATGTAATTTAAAAAAGTGAATATAAAAATAAACCTTTATATTAAAAAAAAATTCTTTAAAATTATAAATAGTATATACTTGAATAAAAAAGCATACAAGCAAAATATTTATAATTTTAAAATCCTATACAATTATTTACCCATTAACAATGGTGATCCATTTTTAAAATACAAGTCCTGCACTAAGAACAATGATGAGTTCTTGGAGGTTTAAATGCACTTTTTTTAATTTTTATTTTTTAAATATATTTAATTTTTTAATACTTATGGCATTTTTTGCACGGCCTATATTTATTTTAAATAATTTGATTTTACATATACATGTAATATAATTAATTTAATAATCTATCTTATTCATCTTAATCAAATAAGGTATTTACATTATTTTACGAATTTTCATTTAAATCGATACTTAAATCTCCGTCATAAAATACTTCACTTTCACTTTTTAAGCTATCTTAATTCTCATATTAATTTTCTTTGGATTTTAATTTTTCTAAATATTAAGAATTTCTTTCTTTTTAAAAATGTTATTAAATACTTATTTCTTTTGAAGATTTTATTTATTTAATTATATTTAAGTCTTAATTACTAGAAAATGAAATATTTAATTTGTTGACTTTTTTTTTATTATATTAATGTTTATATTTTATTCTTACATTTTTAATTTGTGAATTTATATTTTTCTCTTATTTATTTTTATATATGAATTTATTGATTTCTAAGATTCTCAATAAAACAATTTGTTTCTTAGTTCCATTTAATACACTATTTTATTAGTTTTATTATTTTATTATTTTAATTTTAATAATAAATAAGTGCAAAATATTTAATTTTTCATTAATTAATAAATAAAAATTATTATTATATTAATTATATTTTTATATATAATTTTACATATTTTATTTAACCAGCTGGATTTGATATAGTTTAATAGAATGACCATAGAGCTAATATCAATAAAATATGAAATGTAATAAATATTATGATCCCTTGAAATTGTTAATCTTATATTTATTAAAAGACACTAAGGTTTTATAATACTTATAGAAATTATATAATATTATTGTCTGTATATTAATTATATTAAAATTAGGATAACTAATACGTATTTGTTATTACAGGAATTATATAAGTCTTTTATTTAAATAAAATTAAATATGTTCATATATATTTTTATTTTACTGTTAAAAATAATATATAAATTAATAAGAATATTGATATAAGTAACATCTAAGGAATTAACGATCCAAATTTATAAAAAAAAATCATTATTATATTATGTTTTTATTAACTATACATTTTTTATTTTTTATAAATAAAAGAAATATTAAAAAAAACGTATTAATATTTATAAGCCTTTGAATAAAAAAAAATACAATGTATTTTTATATAAATAATATTTATATTATTTATTATAAATTAAGTTTTTTTTTAATTTAATAAAATAAATAAAAATTATTTTTTACACTTATAATTGTTTTTAATAAAATATTTATATATACATGACTATAATATATTATTTTATATATTTTTATTTATCTTTTATTTTTATAATATTAAAGTTTTAGTTTTGTAATAATTTATAAATAAATTATAATTATTATTATTATTATTATTATTATTATAATTATTATTATTATTATTATTATTATATTTATATAAATATATAAAACTATTTTTATTATTTTTATTTTATATATTTTTTACTATGATTAATTTTTTTATATAGTATTAATTATATCTTTTTTTGTATATGAATTTATTTTTTTTATTTTTATTTTTATCTTGAAATTTTTTATCATAAAATATTTGTTTAACTTAATATAATATTTTACTAAAAATTTAATCATATTTTTATATTTTTTACATCTATTTATTGCTAATATTGTTTTAATTATTTTTATATTTATTTATTCAAATTTTAATTATATTTATAGCTTTTTTTTTAATAATAATTTTTTATCAATTCGATTATTTTATTTATTCTTATTCTCTTTTTATTTTATTATATATATTTATTTCTATTTTTTTAATGAACTAATTAATATTATCATATTGATTATTTTAATTTACAAATTCATTTTTACTTCTTAATTTCTTTATTAAACTATATATTATTCTTTATTCATTTTTTTATTTCAAAATATTTATTTAATGAAGTATAATTCTACGTTAAAAATCTTCATTATTCTTTATTCATTTTTTAAATAGATTATTATTCTTTATCTTATTTTATTTATCTTTTTAATTTATCAACAATGTAAATAAATTATTATATTTATAATATAGAATATTATTTTATATAATTATTTACTTTGAATTTATTTTTTTTATTATTATTTTTATAATGAACAACCATACTTCTATCATATTATTCATATTTTTTTTTATTCTTTATTTTTAATTCATATTTTAGTATTTATTTTAATTATATATATACATAATTAAAAAAGAAATTTTAACAAATTCAGGATATGTTAGATTTATAATTTTCTTCTTCTAAATAATTAATATTTTTTATATATAAAAATTTGTTTGAAAAAATTAATATATATGAAAAACCTAGCATTTCATAAACTTAAGTTACTAGTAACTAAATACTTCCAATTATATTTTTTCAAATATAGCTTTTTATAAATTTCATATTTCTTTTTTGATTTTCTTTTAATTTATTAATACGAATATTTAAGCATATTTTAAAACACATAACAGCTTTTACATAATATTTATGTATTAAATAAATTACTCTAATCAAAAAGTAACAATTATTTGTTTTTAAACCCTTTAATTATTGTTTATTTTTTTTTAACAAAAACGTAAAATTAAATAATACATCTTGTCTATAAAAATTTTTGACAATTTTAACATATTTAATATATACTTCTTCACATTATTTATAATGTCCAACCAACTGAATAATATAATTTTGTAACTAAATCTATTAAATATTTTTAGCTTTTGATATATCTATGCTTTCTTTCTTTAAAATTATATTACTCTTAATTTGTGTTTAATAATTATTAATCATTTTTAGAAATAAAATTGTTTTCATACTTTCTAATTAAACTTTCATCTTTAAATTTGTCTTTTATTTCTTTAAAAAACTTTATTAGATATTCCCTTGCGCTTTTATCTTTAGCAGTTTTAATCAAATCATTATTAGTTAAAGCTAATATGTTAAAAACTCATATAATTATTTTGTTTTTTATTTAGATTACTTTACTTATATAAATTAATTTTTATTTTAAATTATTGATTTTTGATATTATTACTTTGAGAAGAAAAAAAAATACTACTATAACTCTTAAAAACATATTTTCTTCATTTAATTACTTCATTTTTTACTGTAAATTAGTTCAATTTTTCCTCTATTTTTATAATTGAGGAAATTATACTCGTTAATTGCATTTCTATTTATAATGTTTTATGTTTATTTGGTAATCTTTAAATTATTATTGGATTTTATTAAAAGTTTAGCTTTTGTGTAAATATTTCAGATTTAGAAATAAAGATTTAGTCACTTTCTTATGTATTTTAATGCTTTTGGATTGACATGGAAAAAGTTTTTTTTATTCATTTAATTAATTTAAAAGATTTAGTATAGGTTAATATTTTTTTATGTTTAAATAAAACTGTTTTCGTTACAACTATTTTAATTGTTTGAATTTTTTTTGTTTTTATTTTATATAATATTATTTTTTAAAGTCAAATTAATATTTTGTTCTTGAGTTTGTATTTTTTATAAATATTATTAAAATTGTTGTATAGGCTATTTCCAATTTTATTTGTAATTTTTTAAGCAACAAACAAACACTAGTTTAAATGTTTAAATTTTGAACAATAAAAATTAGTTACTTTTTAAGAAAGTGTATACATTAATATTATAATTTATTTTTATTATATTGTCCATTATTTTTTTATTTTAATTTTTTTTTTTTATAAATATAAAATTATTTTCTATTTTTATAATCTATGGTATTAATAAAAGTAATTAATATAATAGGTTTATTTATTAAAAAATTAATATAAATTATTAAAAATTTAAAAAACTATGCTTGTGAAAGAAATAATATGATTAATTATTTTTATATAAATAAATATTATTTAAAATAAGAATGTCTAAGTTTGCTTTATTTTTTTAAAAAGACAATGAAATAAAAAAATAATTAGATTTAATATAAAAAATATTATAATTTATTGTAATATTATGTGAATTAAATTTTAAAATAAGTTAAGAGCAATAAATTTATTATAAATTAATAATTATTAAGTTATAAAAATGTTATATATTTTAACATTTTATATTTCCTATTATAATTTAATATACGAATTTAATAAAAATATTCTTATACATAAAAGTTTTATATTTCCACCTTTAGTTAATTTATTTATGAATAGTAATATAATTATTTATATTAATAATTAGTTTTTTTTTTTATTTTACTAGTTTTTCTTAGAGTTATATTAATCACTAATGCTCTTTATTATTATTTTGTTAATATGCTCAATTAACACAAAATAAAAATATTGATATTTTTTTTTAAAATCAAATAAAAAAAAACACACACAAACACACGAATTTGGAAATATATCAAATAGTATAAAAATATATACTTTTTTTTATTAATAATATATTTTTTTTTTGATCAATAATTAAATAACCAATTTTCTTAAAATAACAAAATAAAATAAAAACAGATAATAAAATGGTGGATAAAAATTTAAAATAAGTTGATATTGATGTTGATAATATTATAGAAAAATTGTTAAGTTGTCGCGAATATAAACCTGGAAAACTAGCAAATTTAACAGAAACAGAAATTAGAGGTTTATGCATAAAATCGAGAGAAATTTTTATTTCCTAGCCTATATTACTTGAACTTGAAGCTCCTTTAAAAATATGTGGTATGTTTTTTTATTAATTACAAGAAAATTATTTTAATAAATATTAATAGGAGATATACATGGCTAATTTTACGATTTATTAAGACTGTTTTAATATGGATAATGTATATTATATTTTTATTTTTATTTTTTTTAAAAAATAATAATTAAAAAGATCCTCCTGATGCAAATTATTTATTTTTGTAAATATAAAAAAATAAAAAAAATAATTTAAAAATAATTTAAAAAGAGGAGATTATGTTGATCGAGGAAAACAAAGTTTAGAGACAATCTCACTTTTATTAGCTTATAAAATAAAATATCCTGAAAATTTTTTTCTTTTGAGAGGAAATCATGAATGTGCATCAATAAACAGAATATATGGATTTTATGATGAATGTAATATATTATATAATTAAAATAAATAAATATTATATTTAATATATTTTAAAAAAAAAAAAAAAAAAAAAAAATTATCAAAAAAATCAAATAAAATATTCGTCATATATTTATATTAAGGTAGAAGAAGATTCAATATAAAATTATGGAAAACTTTTACAGATTGTTTTAATTGTTTACCTGTCGCATCAATAATAGATGAAAAAATATTTTGCATGCACGGAGGTTTATCACCTGAATTAACAAATCTAGAATAAATACGTAGAATAGTAAGACCTATAGATGTTCCTGATACTGGTTCAAATATATATTTTAATTTTATTTCTAAAAAAATAATATATATGTATATTTATATATATATATATATATATATTTAAATATATATTATATATTTTTTTTATATATAAAATAATAGGATTATTATGTGATTTATTATGGAGTGATCCTGATAAAGATGTTTAAGGATGGGCAGAAAACGAAAGAGGTGTTTCTTATGTTTTTAGTCCAGAAATAGTTTCTGTTTTTTTGAAAAAGCATGAACTTGATTTAATATGCAGAGCACATTAAGTTATATAATCAATTTTTTATATTTTATTTTAAAAAAAATTTAAATAAATTAGGTTGTTGAAGATGGTTATGAGTTTTTTGCTAAAAGATAATTAGTTACATTATTTTCAGCCCCTAATTATTGTGGAGAATTCGATAATGCAGGTATTTATTCTGATTTTATTTTTTTTATTTATTTAAATTTTTTAAATAGCTGCTGTTATGACTATTGATGAATAATTAATGTGCTCTTTTTAAGTTTTAAAACCTGCGGATTCTAAAAGTGGAAAATGAAACATATGAAATAAATAAAATTAAAAAAAAAAATATTTATATAAAATAAAGTATATAAGATTTCTAATATGATAAATATATATAAAATTTATATTTATAATTTTTAAACATTATTTATTTTTAATTTATTGAAAATAATATAAACTTAATATTTTTGTCTATTTAGTATATATATGACTAATTTTAAAGATTTTTAAATAATATATAATAATATTAATTTTAAAATTTATAATTAATAATATATAAATATAATAATTTAAAATATAAAAATAAAATTATGATATATATTATAATAAATAATACGCATTTATATAATTTTAATAATTAAATAATTTAAAAATTATTAATATAATATTTTTTAATTTCATTTGTAATGAAAAAAAAAATATGTTTTAATATAAAGTAATATAATATGATATTTAATTTATAAATTAATTTTTCTTTTTTTAATCTACTCAAAATAAATTAAGTCTTTACCTCATTCTTTATTAAGCAGTTTAATAATAAAGCATAGGTATTTAAGTTGAATAGGATAATCCATATGAATCTTTCGATTTATATTAATAATATTCTTACCATTAATTAAAGCATTTTCTACATAATAAAATAAATAAATTAATATATATAAATATTCTTGATTTTACATAAGTTTTTATTTTATATCAGGATTTTATTCCAAATATATATTTACTTCTTAAATTAAAATTTATTCTTTTTCCTCTACATCATACCATTAAAATAAATAAATTAAGATTAGTGAATTTAAACAACAAATATCTATATTTATTTAAAATTAAATAAAATATATATATATATATATATATATATATATATTTTATACTCTCTTAACTAACTTATTAATCACTCATTGCTTAAATAGTCAAAAATATAGAATCTTTAATTAAATTATCAAATGGTATATATTTTAAAAAAGAATCTAAGACCTATTTTAAAAAGCTATATATTTTTGTATTTTTTTTTTTTTTATTCTTAAAAAATAAAAATTAAAATAAACATTTTTATGATTTTAATATTCAAGTTTTTTTTAAGTTAAAAGTAAGGCCCTTATAAAAACATTAGAATCTATAATATTTTTCTATAGAATCTCAATAAGAAGATTTTATTTATTATTTATAACTATATAGTTATAAAAATATACTGTGTTTATAACATTATATTTAATAAATTCACTCATTACATCTAATATAAGTTAATTTTCGCTACCTTTTTATAAAGGCTTTCTTAAAGTATTACTAGGATCATTTTATTCGAAAAGTTATTTTGAAAATTTATCTATCAAACCAAAGTAAAGAACATATAATTAATGGTATTAATTTGAGCCTCTAAGGAAGTTTTCTAAACAAGAAGTAAGCCAAAACTTAAAATTGCCTTTTGATTAATCGTTTATTTTGAAATAAGCTTCAGCAATTAAATGTATGGTTCCTTTTTGTGAAACATTTGATAATTAATTTTCTTTAAATAGTTCATTTTATTCTATTAATTAATTGAAATTTATATTATTTATTTAATCCGATAAATCGGCTTTTATATTAAAATCTTTTATTAAATTAGGAATTAATTCTTTTTTTGCATATTGCCTTTCTTCTAAACTAATAAGTTCAATCTTTATTATTAAATATATTTTTTTATTTTAGTATTTTTTTTAAAATAAAAATAAACTTTATTTTCATTTCCATCACAATAATTTATTATTGTCCTTAATAATTAAATTCTAATAGTTGTCAAAAAATCTTCATTTAGGTTATTTTCTATATTATCGAATAAAACTAAAAAAAGTGGATTTATTACATTCTCGATAAATCCTAATCTCCATAATTATTATTAAATATAGCCTTTTTAAGATCCTTATAGTATGTTTGAATACATAAATAAAACCTCCGTCTTTAAAATATATTTATATTTACTTTTTTAAAAAAAATATATAATTTTTATATTACTATATTTGAAAGTTTTAATATTAGTTTGAATATCATTTTATTTTAAATTAAGTTTTCTTTTTATTTATTTAAACAAAATAAAAAATTTAATGCTTTTATTTAAATTATTTATTTTTATTTTTTTACATTAACTTTAAGGACCTTCATTTATTAGGTTTTCAATTTCATAAACTTAAATATTTGTTTTTTCAAAATATTTATCTTGTTTCAACTTTTAAATACATTTTTTTAATTCAATTATATTTTTACAAGTATTTATATCACTTATTATTTTTACTGTAGAACATATTAAAGTAAAGCATTTATAAAGAAAATATTTACTTTTTAAAAAAATTGAGTGGGTTTTTATTATCATATGTTCTTAATATTTTAAAGTATATTTATTATTGGAACTTTTAATTTTTTTATAGTCTAAAAATAATAAACTAATTACTTTAATAAATTCAGCTAGCTTTTAAATATTACAAGAGTCTATAAACTTATATATATTCAATAAATTAATATTTTCATATTAAAAATCCCCAACTTCTATAATTTATTCTAATAGGCAAACGCATATTTTCTCGATTTTAATATTTAAATTATTTTCCTTTTTTTAGAAAAAATTAAATATTTAATAAAAGGAATTAAATAAATATATTTTTTTTATATTTTTAATATTGGTAATTATAAAAAAAATTAGAAAAATGTAATTTTAATTTGTATTTATTTATTTACCGTATATAATTAAAATATTCTATCAAATAATGATATATTTTAATTTAATTAGAAAATAATTTTTGGTTGCGAATAAAGAACAGCCTTTAAATTTCTAGCTAAGCCAAAAGTAAGATTATCACATTATAATTTTTCTTATTAATTACTACGAAAAAAAGAATTCATTAAAGAATTTTATTTCTAAATAAGCTATTATCTTACTTGTTTTAGTAATTTTATTATAAGCAATGTATATTTTAGTAATTTCTGATAAAAATGGCAATCATTATTTTAATTAAGGAATTTGCAATAATAAATACTATGTTCTAATATATTGAAGTCATTATTTATTTCTGTAAGTTAGCTTTCATCGTTTTTTAGTATAAAGTTATCTAATACAATTATTGATGACTCAAGCTTTTCTAAAAAATCATTTTTAACATGATCTATTTACTATTTTTATTATTTATTTTTTAGATTAAATAATTTAATATGTTATATAAAATATAGAATACTATTTTTTATCTGCTATTGCTTTTATTTTTTAAAACTTATCTTATTGTTTATTTATTTTTCATTTTTTTTTATTTTTTTATTAATATTTTTTTAACTTTTGCGATAAAAATTTAATTAATATATTTTATTAAATTAAAATATTGGCCAATAAATTGTTAATTTTATTTTAGGTATTATTTGAATATATTTTTATAAAAAAATAATATTATAATCGTATATATTAAATAATTTATTAAATATAATTAATATTAATTATATAAAAATATATTAATTGAGAAAACTATATAAAAGGATTATAAATAATTAATATATATTAGGTAAAAAATTTAAATTAAAGAAAAAATAAAATATGTATATATATATAAAAAAAATTATATATTATATATGCTAAATATAAATAATTATATATTAATTTATTTAAAAATTATATTTATATATATAATTTGCTAAACTAAATTATTTATAAAAATCAAATATAAAATTAAATATGTGTTTTGGATTAAATAAATCAAATAGCGGAAATAATAATGCTGAAAAAAAGGAACAAAAAATAGTCCAAAAGAAAAAAAAAGAAGAAAAAATAAAATTAATATTATTAGGAGATATGTCAGTGGGAAAAACATCTATATGTGAATATTATAAAACAAAAAATTTTGTAAAAAATCGTCCTAATACTATAGGAGTAACATATTTTGAATTTGATATAAAATTAGAAAATAATTAAAATATTCATTTAGATATTTGGGATACTGCAGGTTAAGAAGTTTATTAGTAAATATTATATAAATAAAATACTTTTTTTCAAATTAAAATATAAATATATTAAGCTTAATAAAAATTATTTATTATATATAAATTTACAAATAATAATAAGATATTTTTTCGTATATTTTTTTTTTCTATTTTTATGTATTTTTTTTATTTTTTATAAAAGATCACTTTTAAAGTTATATTATTAAGATGCCAATATTGTTTTTTTAGTTTTTGATGTAAGCTAATAAAATACATTTACAAGAGTAGAATATTGGATTAATGAATTAGATGAATAAGTTGATAAAAATAATTTAAAAATTGTATTAATTGGCAATAAATGTGATATTGATTCTTCTTAAAGATAAATTTAAGTTCAATAAGCACAATAATATGCAAAATAAAAAAATATATAATATTTTGAAACTAGTGCTCTTACTGGTGAAGGAATAACTTAAGCATTTAATTAAAGTGTTTAAAGCTATGTTTAATAAAAAAAAAATGATTTTATTTAAAATAAAAATATTTTATATATGTAAATTCTTTTATTTAAAAACAATATTTTTAATTGTTAAAATATATATATTTATTACATTAATTATAAAATAATATAAAAACAATAAAATATGTCATAGCAATCTTTATAAGTATTTATATGTATATATACATATACATATACATATAAATATACATATACATATACATATACATATACATATATATATATATTTTTTATTATATATTTTTATTTAATTATAATTAATGATTATTTTTATTAATAAATATTCAAATTATCATTTTTTAGCAATCTAGTTATTTAAATTTTGTAAATTATTAATTACATATATAATTACATTTATTATTTTTATAAAAGGAAAAATATTCATTTTATACAAATTATTTTTATTTTGATTATATATATTAACAATTTTACTACTTTTAATTTTTATTTATAATTAAATTATACTTTTTCTTTAATGTCTAGAAAAAATACATTAGATTTATAAAAACGTGCAAATTAATTTCATAATTATATTTAGAATACAATTTAATATAAAAATGAATGCCTTTAAAATATATTTAAGATTTTAGTTTCTAAAAAAAAAAATAGATTTAACTAAGATGGATATTCATTAGATTCAATATGTTATATATTTTTTGATATTAAATAAAATTTATTTTTAATATATAAAATTAATAGATATAACAGAACAAATTATTGCCATGGGTTATTTAGTCTATAACTATGAAAAACATATAGAAATTCAATGTAAGATGTGTATAAATTCTTTACATATAGACATAAAGATCATTTTTAAATATATAATTTATGCAGTGAAAGAAAATACAGTAGCTAATTTTTTGATGTAATGTTTGAAGAATTTCCTTCTGAAGACTATCAGGCTCCTAATTTGATTTGATTTATAAATTTTGTAAATTATTAGATCATTGGTTAAGTAAAGATTCTAAAAATGTTGCTGCTATTCATTGTAAAGCTGGAAAGGGTAGAACTGGAGTTATGATATGTTGCTATTTAATGTATAGTAAATATTTTAATACGGCTTATGATGCTTTAAGATATTATGGGATAATGAGAACTAAGAATAATAAGGTAGAATATTTCGGTTTTATGTATTTTTAATTTTTTCATAAGGGAGTTACTATACCAAGTTAAATTAGATATATTTAGTATTTTGAAAGAGCTTTATCTAATCCTAATTTTGATATTAAATAATTTATAGAAATAGAAGCAAGAATAACTAAAATTAAGCTAATTACGGTTCCTAATTTTAATTCTTTTGGAGGATGCTGTAAAAAAAATTGATTTTTTTATTTTTTTAAATTTTATCTTTTTTATTGAATTTTTTTTTGTTTTATTTAGGAACCTTTCTTTACTATTAATAATAAATCTTCTGAATATAATTCATTAGTAACTTTTTTAAAAAAAAATAAAATAAAATATAGATTTCCTTTTATTTATTTATAGTTTTTTATATAAGGATTATATAAAATTAAAAACTTATAAAAATCAAGCCTATATTAAATTTAATTTAAATGAAATTAGAGTTAAGGGTGATATTCTTATTTAGTTTTTTAATATTCCGGCACTTAAAAAAAGGAAAAAATGTTTCAATTATGGATTAATTGCGCTTTTATTGAGAAAAATTGAATTTTAATTGTTGATAAATGTATGCTTGATAATGCTTGTAAAGTAAAATACTCTATTACTTAATTCATATTTATTTTAATTTATTAATATTTTATAGGATATAAAAAATAAAATATATGATAAAGAATTTTATATTGATATTCATTTCATAAATTTAAAGAATAAAGAAATTTGAATCATATATTCATTTAAAAACATAATAAAAATAACTTTATATAATATATAAATTTATAAAAAAATATATATTCTTAATATTATTTCTACATATAAAATTTAAAAAAATAACAATATTATTTTTTTGTAATATACAATTATATTTAAAAATAAAATAATTTATTTAAAAAAAAAAAAAAAAAAATTATAAATATAAATATTTATTTATTTTTTTTAAAAAAAAAATAATATTAAAAACAAAATAAAAAAAAAAAAACTAAAATAAATTAAAATAAAAAAAAAATATGTAAACATAAGATTAAAATTCAAACTATGATTAATTAGTCAATTCTTTAACTTATTAACTATCTGTAAAATATATTTACTTATATTTATATAATTTAAAAAAGATATTTTATAACTTTTAATTTAATAAAATAAAAATATATAAATTTAAAAATTAATAAAATATAAAAAGGACTATAAATTGCTTGGACCAGTTGGCAAAGGTGCAGCTAGTTTTGTTATTAAAGTCTAATCTCATAAAACACAATAAAAATTTGTAAAATATAAAATAATATATTGAAAATAAATATTTAATAAATTCTATATTTAAAATAAAAGGCAATAAAAGTAATTGATAAAAAAGACAAAAATTACAAAGCAGCACAATAAAGATTAAAAAATGAAATAGAAGTATTTTTTAATTTTAGAATAAAAAATTAAACATATTTTAACTAAAATAAAAAAGGTACATTTTGAATTAAATCATAATAATATTGTAAAACTGATTAAAAATTTTGAAGATAAAGATAATCATTATTTAATGTTGGAATATTGTGAAAGAGGAGATTTATATTAATATTTAAAGCATAAAAAAGTGTATATATTTTGTTTAATATTATTATTTTTATTTTTTTTAATTTTATAATTATATATAGTTTAGATGAGTAAGAAGCTAAACAAATATCCTATGAATTAGCTCAAGGACTTAAATATTTACATCATAACTAAATAATACATAGAGATTTAAAATTAGGAAATATTTTACTTACGAGTGAAAACGCAGTAAAGATTTGTGATTTTGGACTTGCAGCGAAATTAAATGGTAATCAGTAAGAAAAAAATACAATTTGTGGTACTCCAAACTATATTTCTCCGTAAAATTATTTATTTTTATTTATTCTATCATATTTACTTCTTTTTTCTTTTTATTTATAATAGAGAGATTATTAATAGATAACCTTATGGAATGAAGATTGATTGTTGGTCTTTTGGATGCATATTATATGCTTTAGTTACTGGAGGACCACCTTTTGAAGGAGAAAATGTTTTAAGTACTTTAAGAAATGTTACTTCTTAAAGCAAATTAAATTTTCCAAATAATATATCTAAGGAATTAAAAGATTTGTTATAAAATATTATTAATTGGGTATTTTTTTTTTATTATTTTTTTTTATTTGTGATTAATAATTAAAAAATAAAGAATTAAGATTAAAGATATAATATTGATTAAATATTGATGCATGAGTTTTATGATGAGATAAGAGAAAAAGAGAAAAACAGCCCAAATGATGAATAATTAACTTTTTTTAATAGTATTAGAAGTGTGAAATAAGATAAAAGTATACTTGATACAAGCAAGTTTTAGGATAATTTTTTTTACTAATTAGAAACATAATAATAATAAGTAAAAAATAAAGAAAAAAAACAAAATATATCAAATAAAGATAATAAATATTCAATTATAAATTAAATTTAAGAAAATTAACATTATAATAATTTATAAAAGTATAAAACTAAATCATCAGAAAGATTAATTACGTAGTAATATGACGATAGTAAATATAAATATTTATAATAAAAATAAGGTGGAAAAAGTGAAATATTTTAAAAAAATTAAGTAAAAGCTAATTCATAAATATTTATTAGAAATAAAAATTCAACAATATATTAAAGTTTTGAAAAAATTTATCCTTATAATAAAATAAATAATAATAACAAATATAATAATAAAAATATCAAAAAAACAAATATAGTAATAAATAAAATAATAACAACAAATATTATTATAATATTAATAATAATAATAATAATCATAATAATCATAATAATCATAATAACCATAATAAATATTTTAATCATAATAATAATTATAATTATAAATATTATAGTATTAATAAAATTAATAATATTAGGCTTTTTAATAAAATGTTATTTGCAGAAAAAGCAAAAATACAAGTAGTGATATGTAACTTAAGCAAGTTGTAAGCGAAAAAGAAATAAGTAAAAAATATATAGATAATAATTAATAATATTAATATTGCACAGTTTAAACAGCTTAAAAATATGTTTAAAATTTGTCTAATTTTGCAAATATATAACATAATATTTTTCATAATGAATAATTTTTATAATAACTTTAAAAAAAAATAAAAAAAAGATTTGTCGTATTAAATGCATCCAAATTCAAAATTAAGTGTTTCGAGTAATATTGGAAATATTATAGTATAAAAAAGTCTCAGTAAAAATTTAAGTAGATCTTAAAATAATGATGAAATAATTGAACAAGTTAAAATAGAATAATAAAAATCAAACGAAAATAAATAATCAAAAGAAAATAATAATCCTAATATAATTATTTAGAATGCTAAAATTAATAATAAAAGAACTCAAAAAAATATTATTAGTGCCGATTCTACTATATCAACAAATACTTCTACTCATTTTTAATAATAAATGATGTACTAATAATAGCTTATAGGAAATAAAAATCAATAACGATAATTAATTAATGAAATTTTAAAAAAGTATCATTTAAAAGAACCTGATATTTCTAATGAAAGAAATTATACAATACAAGTAAAATCAATATAAATAATAATACTAACATAATTTTTATTTAGGCAAATAGTAATTCAGTTAAATAAAAAATAAATAATTGTATTAAAACTGAATATAATAATCAAGAATCTCCGAATTATCATGACTCTATATAAATATTATTAAGTGCTTAAAAAGCAAATAATAAAAATAGATAAACAACAAGTTAGAAACATGTATAATCAACAATAAGTAAAAATATAGAAAAAGAAATTAAAAAAAATATTTATTTATTTTTATTTTTTTAAAAAAAGTAACATCAGATGTAATAAATGATAATTATTATTAGAATTTCTCTCCTTTAAAAACAGGGAAATTAAAAGCAAATAAATATAATACTCAAAATGGGACTGTTGAAATTACAGAAAATAGTCATTTTATTCTTTAAACTTAAAATGGAAAACTTTCTATGAGAATATCTCCGGAAGGAAAAACTATAGAAATCTAAAAGAAAGCTGAATAAAAGAAAGTTTACATATTATAATAATTGCCTTAAAAATATATATAATTATATGATTATTGTAAAAAAGTATGTAATACAATGAAATAAAGATAACCTAAATTAAAAATAGAAACTGAAGATAGCAAATTCGTCCTTTTTGAAAACAATAAAATAGAAGCAATATTTAATAATGGATATAAAGCTTTTTATAAAATGGATAGTTAATTAATATAAGTTAAAAATAAATTCGGATAAACTATAGATTATAATATGAATGATGATTTAAAATATGTTCAAAATGAATTAAGACTTATAATTTTAACCACTTTGAAAGTTATAAAATAAATTAAAATTCTTCTAGATTAATAATAGTGAGCTTAATTTATATTTATTTCCTTTCTAATTTTTGAAATATATAAATTTTTGTTAATTTTTTTTAAATTTATTTATTTATACAAAATTTTGTTTTTAATATTAAAAAGATAATAAAAAATAAAAGAATTCAATTTTGATTAAATTAATAGCGTTTTTTTTTTAAAAAAAAAATAAAATAATAAATTTTATAGATTATAAAAAAAATATAATATATAAATATTTATAACTATCTATTAAAAAATAAAAAAAAGTAAAGTTTTCATTATTTAATAAAAAAGAAATTTAAATAAATATATTATGATTATATAATTTTAATAGTAATTCGATAAATCTATATCAGATAGAAACCATTTTAATTATTTTGATGTAAATATGAAAAAAGGTATACAATACGACTAAAATAATAAATTTCATTTCTAGAAATATAATGTTATAAAAAAATAAAGAGTATAAGAAAAAATAATAAAAAAATAAAATGTAGTTAGAGTTTCTGATTTATATAAAGGAATTATATTTAGTTAAAAAGAAAAATAAAATACAAGTAATATTAAAGATTTAACTAATCATAATAATTATTTAAGTTGTAATTTAAGGCCTTAAACAAGTATATAAATTAAAAGTAATAATGATTTTGAATCTTAAACTAATTAAAATAAAAAGAATATGTTTGATTTATAATAAGATCATGTAAATTGAAATTTATAATAATAAAATTTACAAAATGAATAATAATAATAAACATAATAATTTTTTTTTAAAAATAACTTTGACTGTAAAAATAATAATAAATAAGATAATGATATGAAAGTAATTGAATAGAATAGTAAAGATAACAATATATAGAAATAAAAATAAATGTTTATAAAATAAAAAAATAATAAAGATTTAAATTAAATAGATTAAATTGAATAAACACAAAAAAATATAATATTTGAAAGTAATAATGTAATAGTTAAATAAAATTTAATAATCTTTAAAAAAAAAAAAATAATAATTATTCTTAGGAATTTTTTTATAATAGAATAAAAAAAAATTAAAAACAGAATTCTGAAAAACGGTTTAATAAAAAAACTTATCAAAATATTTTAAATAAACGTTTTTATAAAATTAAAGTATATTAAACAAT